ACCGCCAGCTTGATTGAAAGTTGATGCATTCTGTATAATCCCTTACCATGATATTGTATCCGAGTTGGCAAATGTGGACTTTCTTTGCCCAGCCATTATTTTTCCATCCCCGCAAATGTATTTGTAGAAATAAAAATATCTATTTTGAAGTTACGCGCGTAATGACATCGGAACCTTTCTTACCTGTTCACTGGTATAGTGCTATCCGGAACTCCTCTCCCAAAAAGTCGGAGTGACCGCCCTTGAAATGGCATGTTACTTCCGTCAAAGATAATTACATGGACGATAAAATCTCCGGTTATTGAGATGTTAATCTCGTGTACGTATTGTGAATTTCTCGTTGCCTGTAATGTTATGCACCAAATAAAAGGTAAATATACACACTACCTACGGATACATATTGTTTTACAAGGAACTTATCATAACTACTTTTTTTGAGCCAGTTTCCAAGCGAGGGGTCGATTTTTTAAAATCTGGAGTTGCTTGCCTTGTGTATTTTTAATGACCGTGGACCTCGGATTTGTCAACCGGCACATAAACTTGAATTCTGCTGATATTTCGTTTAAATAACGTCAATCATGAGTGCTAAAACAAAAATCAATGTTTAAAAAATAATATCCTGGCCTCGAGTGCCTGTGCTTGCGTCGGTACTTGATATACAGATTTTGTAGACAAACGTAACAATTTTTTCACCTTTGGTGAACTTTCCTTATCTACATAGTAAATGTCCTGTCCCATCCAATTCGGTATTTAATCATTTACTTCGAAAATAACGATTCTCGTTGAGGACATCGACAGTTTACAGAACAAAAATATATATACTGTTTGCTTGATTGACAAGGAGGTCGACATTTTTACTAGAATCTTTAATGAAGATCTTCTCAGGTTGACTAGAGTCTCTACCTATTTTAAAGCCGTGGTCTTACTTTGATCTTATGTTTGGTTTGCATTAAAGGTGATACTTAGTCGTTCATGACACTTGGTGACTCGTTGTGATTTTGTCCCCATGTCTGTGGAGTAAATTAATACACCAAGGTATTCGTGGAAAATTTTTAAAGATATTATCATCTTTGTATGAAAATGTCAAATCCTGTGTAAAATTTGAGGGTCAATTAAGTAATTGTTTCCCTAATTATACCGGTCTCTTGCAAGGGGAAATATTGTCACCTGTGTTGTTTTCTTTGTATGTGAATGATTTTGAAATTAACTTTATTAATGATAATTGTCCAAGTATTGAATTACAGATGCTTAACCTTTTCTTGCTAATGTATGCTGATGATATGTTTTTTTTTGCTGATAGTCCTGGTGCATTACAAAACATGTTAGATTCTTTACAAAGTTACTCTAGAAAATGGGATCTGGAAGTCAACGTTAATAAAACGAAAATCATGGTTTTTAGACACGGGGGAAATATAAGAAATAATGAAGTGTGGAAATATAATAATGAGAGCATAGAAATTGTTGACTATTTCAAATATTTGGGAATGTTTTTTAATTACAATGGTAAATTTTATAAAACCCAAAAGCATTTAGCAGACCAAGGAAGAAAGGCCTTATTTTCAATATCAGCCTCTTTAAAGAACCATTGTTTGAATCTGGAAACCCAGTGCTCTGTCTTAGATACTTATATCAGCAGCATCTTAAGCTATGGTGCAGAAATATGGGGGTTTCACAAAGCTCCTGATGTAGAGAGAGTCCATTTGAATTTCTGCAAAAAAGTTCTTAAAGTCTGTAAATCTACATCCAATGATTTAGTTTATTGTGAATTGGGTAGATTACCATTAATTGTTACAAGAAAGTTAAAAGTATTCAAGTATTGGTTGAAGTTGACGAAATCGGATAATTTGATATTAAAAACTTGTTATGATGAATGTGTCAACGAGAATGATCCGTGGATTTGTAATATTAAGAATGAGTTAACTGCCCTAGGTCTTTGTTATATCTTTGAATCAAATCTACCATTTGTTAACTCTTTTAAAATTATTGAACAGAGATTGAAAGATGTTACTAAGCAAAATATGTTGGCAAAGATAGCAGCTTCTTCAAAAGGTAGACTATATCAATACCTTATTGACAGTCATTGTATTCAGTTTTATCTCCGTAAACCTATTGAATCTAAATACAAATGTATGATAACTAAATTTAGAACGTCGTCTCATAAACTGAATATTGAAATGGGTAGACACAATAATATCATTCGCAGAAATAGGAACTGTAGCAAATGTAATTTGGGAGACATCGAGGACGAATTTCATTTCATTTTTGTATGTCCTTTTTATATTGATTTAAGGTTAAAATATATAAAGAAGTATTATCATAAGAGTCCCTCTGTTTACAAACTTGTCCAACTATTATCTGTAAATAACATCAAAGAGTTGTCAAATCTAGGTAAATATTTGTATCTAGCCACTAAGCGACGTAATTAATTACAGCTACATGTATTTATAACTTTTGTGCTTCTGTATTATGCTGTATTGTATGCTTATAGTCACTCTCCTATAACATATACATGTACAATATGTCATGTTTAGTCTGTACCTATAAGTCTTAAGACTTTTGGTGAATAAAGGAAAGAAAGAAAGAAAAAAAAAGTTATTCGTCAGTAATCTACGCTTGTTTGAGCTAAAGTAGTTCATGGAAATACAGTGCAATACATCAGTCATGGAGATCAGTGGCTTTTTAATCCGGAACGAAACAACCTTGTGCTGTTGACCAATGTCCAGACGAAACCTTACACACCTACATCTATTGTTATACCTTGTAATCGGTCAAGGCTTGGTGGATTATATCACTCGGTCTTCGCACAGCTTAAACCCCATTCATAGCCTAAACATTCTACATCCTGTCACTTCGTGCAAACACGCGTGAAATGGACAGTTAAAAGTCAGCAATGAAAATAAACATTTATTTTTTCGCTACATTGACTTTAAGAAAGTGATTTACGAGGAACCTACCAACACATATGTTGATTTGAAATAACAAACCTGCACGCATATCATACATGCTCCTAGGCCATTCAAGCGTATATTTTGATTTGAAATGCCAGTATTTTGCTCGTGTAATACATGTTGCTAACTACTCGAATGTTTCCGTTGTTCCTTCGAGAACAACCGAAAACCACTAAAGTATGGTATGGAAACTTGGTTGTGTTTCAAAGAACACACACGTTTTGTTATCGCTTTCATATCAATTATCCATTATTTGGTGTTCTTTTTAAAAGATTAGAACATTCACCAATATGATCGGGCTGTATCGAATTTCTTGCACGGTTCACTTGAAAAATACGATAAATTGACAAGAAATCACACTCGTATTTCAAATATCAAATCGTATTCGGGGAAAGTACTTAAGCTCGTTCACGAAGAAATGTTGACTGCAAAATAGGACAAATAGGACGAGTAAAATAAACCGTAATTTAAATTTAAAATAGACGAAACCAAGACAAGACTGTGAAATTGAAAATTTCAAACTAATTTGGAAATACCCCACGTGATAAGTAACCTAGTCACCGATTCAAGTAACCATTATAGGTATCTTACAGTATAATATATACACTTTAATCTTTATCATGTCATGTTTTCCACATATATGTTTCGAAATAGTTCACGATCAGAAATATTTTTGTTAGGATTTGATTCAATCTTGGAAGAATTATGAATGCTTTCATTTCGTTATTAATGACATATAACAGCCTAAAAAGTGAAAAGAAAAGAAGAAAAAACAGAAAAGATATTTTCAGGATTCCCCCCACCCCTACATGGTTATGACGTCGTCGTCTTAGCAGGCTCTTATACTACAAACAGGAAGTCACATATTAATCACTGGTATCAAGAGGTTTGTTTAAAACTCCCGGCGAAGGCTGCACTCAAATATCAAGGACAATACAATTATCTATGACAAAGCGTTACCAGACTCGAACAACCTACTACAACCAACACACCCGCACAGTAGAAATTCCGAGAAACTAGTGTGTCATTTTTTATTTGTGACTCAAATATAATCCTAGGAAATTTTGATAAATCAGAGGACAAAAACATCTTGTTTTTTTTTGTGATAACCCTTAATGAAAAACATGTTTGTTAGCGGAACTGGATACGGAAGGGTGAGGTAGTAGTTTGGTTTTGCTAACCAAGGTTTTTCAAAACCCTTAAAATTGATCATATATAGGCTAAATCAATTAAGAATCCGGTGTCAATTAAACTTATGTAACCAGTCAATCCGTCTGATTTCATTACATCTGTTTGTTTTTGCTGCCACAGTCCATATACCTGGTGACACCAAATTGAACTTTGTTTCTATAATCACACGATCCTCTAAAATTAGCATAGATTTGTACTAATCAAGGTAAACGGCCTTAGTATCTCACCTTTGTGTTGATCACTGGTAACTATCGACTGTACGTGACCATGGTACAATTTCATAAAAAAAATCGTCCATTCATTTATTATAATGTAATTTTACGGAAGACATATTTCACGTCAAAAACCTGCCCCAAGAAAACTTTAACCTGGTAAAGTGATTTTAACATGATAAACAAAATTTCAATTTTAACATTGTTAACCATAGAGAATGTGTTAATAAATAAACAATTTAGCGGCAAACTAGCTATAGCACAGTTAAAACGCTATTTTTTTGTTGCGGTGCTACATGCACTCAACTAGTAAACATCGACTTCGACTCTGTAAATTAAGACTTAAATGGATCTCGTTGATTAGGTTAACAATCACTGGACGGGGAGTGGCCATTTTAAAAGAAGTTTCGGGCTTTTTGACTCGTTAACGACCCATTTGTTTAGAAAATTTAAATTATTCCACTGAACATTTATGAATAAATAACCCAATACATTGTTCACTCAGCCATGCAGAGTGTTGAATGGATTGTCTCCCCTGCAAGATCGGTTACTGTCACGGTCACGAGCTTATCGAGGTCACACACACACACATCACACCACTAAAACGACGGTGTAAGCTGTGCGGAAGGAGTTGAATGGAAAATTGATAATGGATCGTCTAAAGAACATGCTCTTGTATTTAGAAGGCCCAAAAAATGTGGCTGACTTTCAGAAATTGTGTGGAATTGAAACATTGATACGGAAGGCAAATAGGCCTAATGGCTATGAGACTACCGATGTGAAGACTGAAAATGGCGACGCCGGTAAGCATTCGGACAATTGCGAATTGCGACAGAGAGATATACCTAACGGTTTCGCCAAGCAGGGCGATTGTTCAGAAAACAATTCCAATACATCACAAAATGAATTAATTTCAAATAGACTAAATGGAATTTGCCATCAAACCACAAATGGTTTTGTGAAAAATGGACATGTTCGAAATGGATTACAAACGAATGAATCAATGTTAAATAACAAAGACGAGGTAACGTATAGGATCCATAACAGATTGGTTCATTATCTGTTCCTATTTGGCGCCGCACTAGGGAACGAGCAGTTTTATTTGGTGTTTTTCCCATTTTTAATGTGGAATGTTGACTGTCGACTACTAAGACAAATGGTCATAGTGTGGCATGTCGGAATGTACCTCGGACAGGCAGCAAAGGATATATTCAGGAGACCCCGACCTGCATCACCACCTGTGGCGTATCTAGAGAAGAGATATGTCTCTGAATATGGCATGCCATCAACACATTCTACAGTGGGTGCTATCATCCCATTTTCAATATTGTATTTGACCCTCAATCAATATCAGGTAATTACATAGCCAGACTTGTCACAACAACTCAAAGTCTGCCTGTTTACACTCATTTATTCTTAACTGTTTACACATCTTTAGAAAAAAGGACTGATTAGGCTCATCAGTCTGGCCAGAAACAACCTTTTCATACAACGGGTCAAACAGGGATATAACAAAACAATACATCAAATAAAAATATGTAAATTTTTGAAATTAGAGATCAATATTGTATAGAAACAGTTAACTTTATCATTTATACATGGTTTTTACCTAAATTATATTTGACTCCTAAATTTATGATTTGGTGAAAAGAATTTTGAAAGCTGGTGTAACCCCTGTCATTGTAACATAAAGGTATGTCCATGTGAATAGGCAAGTTGCTAACAAGGAAATGTCTGTGTTGAAATTTAAAAAGTCACTTCCTGCCAATCCTGGCTTACATTACAATTAATTGATACTGAGTGTTGAAATTTTCTGGTCTATTTTATACTAATATTCCTTGGTTATCATATTACCTGGGTACATGGCTATATGTTATTCATGAATAGGGATATTTCCTGTCTCAAAGTTTTTGTGACCACTTCAGGAACTGGGCCCTGGCCCCATAGTTTTGAATGAGGAAAAATGAATAAAACAAAGATATTCAAATCTAATCATACTTCACAAGTTTATTCCTCTCCTGTATAGCTCATAATGCTTTCTAAGCATATATTGATTAGAGCTAGCTTACAGATCATGGCCTGGAAATACAGACATGTGAAATTGAGAGAATGTCCCATGCAAATTATGATTCATGAGCAACGTGATTCTCCCACTCCCCACTGATTTTTAACTTAAATGCTCCCATCAGTGATTTTCTCATCATTATTCTCTCCTACACACACTCACAATAAATTTAAATAAACCACATCAAGCCTATAGATAATCTCAAGATATTGAGAAGGTTAGATTAAAGAAATCAAACTATATGGTCAGCATTTACCAGATATAGAGCTATTGTTGTCGGGAATTAGGTACACAACTGTGAAAATATGTACTGGTGATGATGTCACATATGTATATAAAATGTTTACATTTACAACCTGGTTGTGTGGGCAACAGATTATATTTGGCATGGTCACATACGTATATAAAATGTTTACATTTACAACATGACTGTGTGGTCAATAGCTTACATTTGCCAAACTTACAGCTGTTCCTTTGCTCAGAGGTTGGAGATATTTTCTGAGGGTAAAGCTGTTTGTCAGTCCTGATGTTAGAACTATCTTTAGAGGGTAAATTTATTTGTCATTGATGTTGGAACTATTTTCTGAGGGTAAAGCTGTTTGTCAGTCCTGATGTTAGAACTATCTTTAGAGGGTAAATTTATTTGTCATTGATGTTGGAACTATTTTCTGAGGGTAAAGCTGTTTGTCAGTCCTGATGTTAGAACTATCTTTAGAGGGTAAATTTATTTGTCATCGATGTTGGAACTATTTTCTGAGGGTAAAGCTGTTTGTCAGTCCTGATGTTAGAACTATCTTTAGAGGGTAAATTTATTTGTCATCGATGTTGGAACTATTTTCTGAGGGTAAAGCTGTTTGTCAGTCCTGAGGTTAGAACTATTTTCTGAGTTTAAATCTGTTTGTCAGTAGTGATGTTGAAACTAAAGCCATTTGTTAGTACTGTTATGTACACATTCATATAAATAAATCTGTTTGTCTGTCCTGAAGTTAGGCTATTTTCTGAGTTTAAAACTGTTTGCCAGTCCTCAGAAAATGAAACTCCAACAGTGAATGGTTCACTGTCTTGATCAGTCCTCAGTGCTTTTGTAAAACACTTGACATTATACTTGGTAGCCAGTAGCATGATCATCTGCACCTGTCTTGATAATGTTAACAAATGTCTAAAACAGATGTCTGAGTGAGCTGCTTGAAAAAATAGTTTAACATTGATGCATTTATCTTAGTTTTGCTCTAAGTTGAAACTGCACAGACTGTAAGATCAATGTTTGCAGCTTTGGAAAACAATTGACAAGTTTATTCTCAAGCCAATTTTTGTACACTGTTTTCCAAAAATTATACTATTTGTTCATATTGTCAAGGATATCAACTCAAAGAAAGTTTTTCTTTTGACCAGTTTGTAGAAAAGTAGGAAATGAATACCTAGTAATTCTTTTTCATTTCATTTTGATTAACATATTATTGAAATGATTTACATCCAGTTTGAAGAATATTGTAATCAACAAATGTTATGAAAACAATGCTCCAGTTAAACAACATTGTCAAGATGATTGGTATAATAAATTGTAAAGAGTATAATACCTTCTGACAAGTGTATCATTTGAAGAAAAAAAATTTTTTAACTGAAGTGTGCTCATTTCATTTGTATGTTAAAATCAAATGTCAGTATTTTGAAAAAATCAAAGGAAGTTTGAGAACATCAGTTCTGCCATACATCTAGTGTGGCCATATTTTTCACAAAATTAGCACCTTGTTTGTAAATGGGATTTCCCAAATACATAGATGTAGGTTTAGTTGGTTATGAAGTCAGCTGTTACTATCTCAATATCACACAGTCATTGTTCGAAGAAAGTTTACCTGTAATCCATGTCTGACAGCAGCTGTTGTATCCACATGAGAATGATTGCAGTTTCATGGAATGTTTGCTGTGTTGTCTATGAAATGTTTTTGTGGCTGTAACTAATAAAATATTTTAAAAATGGACAAATTCCTGGAAATCTAAATTCAGCTCAGGTCTAGGTCTCTCAGTGCACCAATAACATAACATTTTCGATCCTATACAGAAGTCTCAGGTGTTTGAAACACTGTGTACTGAGAAATTTTCACCCCTGTTTAATTTTTGGGCTTTTTGTGCATGAACACATGATGAATTTAATATAAGGTGGATGGGTTGGGGGGTGGATGTGTGTTTCTCTTAATATGATCCTTTTATACAGTCACCAGAGAGTGAAATGAAAGTAAGGTGAATTCATGAATAATGGTACAAGGGTGAAAATATCCTAGTGTGAAAATATTTCTGTATACAATAGTCTCAAAAATCAACTTCCTATAGTTAGTGTGAAGTATTGATAGTGATGATACTATGTATACTGTACTACAACTGTTTGTTATTTAAAACTAAGATGTTATTTCACAGTAATAGTATTTAATCACAAAACATAGCTGCAACAATTGTCCTTTCTTTGTATACTTAGATATCCTGGTGAAACTGATGTATAAAATATCTTTCAATCAATACATGAACAGTAATAAATGTTAACACTAGAAATATTGTGATGTTCTATCAACATTTTATTTATATTGATGCAATTGATAAAAGAAAGAAAGCTGGAAAATTAAGAATTCAAAAGTAATACCCATGGTAATACCCAGTCTCCTCCTCTGTCTCCTCTAATGCTGAAGGTACCCTAGTAATACCCAGTCCCCTCCTCTGTCTCCTCTAATGTTGAAGGTACACTAGTAATACCCAGTCCCCTCCTCTGTCTCCTCTTATGCTGAAGGTACCCTAGTAATACCCAGTCTCCTCCTCTGTCTCCTCTACTGCTGATGTTACCCTAGTTATACCCAGTCTCCTCCTCTGTCTCCTCTACTGCTGAAGGTACCCTAGTAATACCCATTCTCCTCCTCTTTCCCCTTTAATGTTGATGTTACCCTAGTTATACCCAGTCTCCTCCTCTGTCTCCTCTACTGCTGAAGGTACCCTAGTTATACCCAGTCTCCTCCTCTGTCTCCACTTCTGCTGAAGGTACCCTAGTAATACCCAGTCTCCTCCTCTGTCCCCTCTAATGTTGATGTTATCCTGGTAATACCCAGTCTCCTCTGTCTCCTCTAATGCTGAAGGTACCCTAGTAATACCCAGTCTCCTCCTCTGTCTCCACTTCTGCTGAAGGTACCCTAGTAATACCCAGTCTCCTCCTCTGTCTCCACTTCTGCTGAAGGTACCCTAGTAATACCCAGTCTCCTCCTCTGTCCCCTCTAATGTTGATGTTATCCTGGTAATACCCAGTCTCCTCTGTCTCCTCTAATGCTGAAGGTACCCTAGTAATACCCAGTCTCCTCCTCTGTCTCCACTTCTGCTGAAGGTACCCTGGTAATACCCAGTCTCCCCTGTCTCCTCTAATGCTGAAGGTACCCTAGTAATACCCAGTCTCCTCCTCTGTCCCCTCTAATGTTGATGTTATCCTGGTAATACCCAGTCTCCTCTGTCTCCTCTAATGCTGAAGGTACCCTAGTAATACCCAGTCTCCTCCTCTGTCTCCACTTCTGCTGAAGGTACCCTGGTAATACCCAGTCTCCCCTGTCTCCTCTAATGCTGAAGGTACCCTAGTAATACCCAGTCCCCTCCTCTGTCCCCTCTAATGTTGATGTTACCCTAGTAATACCCAGTCTCCTCCTCTGTCTCCTCTACTGCTGAAGGTACCCAAGTAATACCCAGTCTCCTCTACTGCTGAAGGCAATCTAGTTATACCCAGTCTCCTCCTCTGTCTCCTCTACTGCTGATTTTACCCTAGTTATACCCAGTCTCCTCCTCTGTCTCCTCTACTGCTGAAGGTACCCAAGTAATACCCAGTCTCCTCTACTGCTGAAGGCAATCTAGTTATACCCAGTTTCCTCCTCTGTCTCCTCTACTGCTGATGTTACCCTAGTTATACCCAGTCTCCTCCTCTGTCTCCTCTACTGCTGATGTTACCCTAGTAATACCCAGTCTCCTCTACTGCTGAAGGCAATCTAGTTATACCCAGTCTCCTCCTCTGTCTCCTCTACTGCTGATGTTACCCTAGTAATACCGTTCTCCTCCTCTGTCCACACTGCTGCAGAAGTTATCACGATGAAATGCATAAAATACATCTCCTGCATAAACGCTATCTGGATACTTTCATGCTGGTAAAATAGTATCCAGATACTTTTTATGTTCCTGCTTAAATTTCATGTATCACAGTCCAGGACAAACATACAATAGCCCTCCCCTCAAATCTATTCCCCATCAGCTTAATTCTGTATACATCTGTCAAAAATGTACTCCTTGGATGCCTTTTTAGACACCTGTCTAAACTATACCCCATAACAAAAATCTTCAATGTTTAGGTTACCTAAGTCAAAGTTTCACGATGATCTATTACCGATCGCTTTTAATGTTTGGTTTTGTGCATCCGTAAACTTTTAAATTTTTTGACTTCTTTTCTAAAACCCCAGAACTGATTTCCATGAAATTTTGCAGAAACCTTCCCAGGCAAAAGATGATGCAAAACATCAGATTATATGGTCTTCACCCCAGGGGCCTGAGGGGTAGGGCAAAAAGCTGTTAGATTGACTCCAATTTCAAAAATCTTCTTCACAACACCCAGATATGGTAGAATCAAATGCTCTTCAGGGATGAAAGCTTATTAAAGTGCTTTACCAAAATTGTGAATTTCATGGCCTCAGGGTCTCACATTTCCACCTGGGGAGGAGGGAAATTTTACTTTAGCTTATATAGAAAGAGTTGCATTTTTAGCATAATTTTCAATGAAAATATTTCAAACTTGGTTAGAATTATGAGCAAAGGATGATAGCTTGATGTTATGCACATATTGATCCTGGCTGATCCCCAGTGGCTGATTGGCAGGGCCAAAAGGGATAGATTTGTCTCTAATTTCAAGTCTTACTTTCATCAATGTTGCAATTTCTTTTTGGTGACACTTAAACTTACCCTAGAACCTTTTATATTCAATATTGCTTATCTCAGGTGACTACCAAGGCCGCAAGGCCTTTTGTATTGTCACGTCCCCTAACAAGTTACCATATGGCTATTGTAAGACTAGGGAATGACTGTGAGTAGTGTAACCCATGCTGGGTCCTTCGCCTTTGGCTTCTAAGTAAAAAAAGTATGGATACACATTTGTATTTAAAATATATCTACACACATGACACAGCTGTCATCTACTCTGATCACATATATCTACATAAGCTATAGAGTTTTTATGTACCAAAAGTTTACACCGCCTATATACATGCATGTATCAGTAGAAAAATACTGCTGATATCAAAAATAAAATTACTAGGTTAATAACAAACAGACTTTTCTATTATTGCTTCAGGTATTAATGTGTTAATTGTTCCTGTGGGAAACTTGCCCTAAGGTTATTGTTTAAAGTTGATTGTATCCATTTAAGTCAAATGCAAAATATTTGGAATAGTTTTAACTGTAAATTGTACCAACTTATCTGTTAGAAATATCACAGTTGTATTTACATAGCTAAACTTTGGGTGACTTTATATAGGAAAGTGTACATGTACATTTAGTGTTCTTAAAATCCATATACACTGTCTCCTCTGGCTCAAGTGTCATCACTTGTGTGACTTTTATCTCAAGTAGTTTTACTAGTTTTCCATTGGTCATCATTCTGTAGACAGCATTGTATTTCTTAGTTTGTCCTTCTGTCTGTTATTCTGTCTGTCTTTCAGCCAATCTGATAGCCTATAAGTCTGTCCATTTGTCTGTCAGTCTGTCTCTCAGTCTGTTATTTCTCTCAGTCTTAGATTATTAATAATGGATATTCCATTTTTCACTTTTGCAACATGTATAAGCAGTGTCATTTTTAGCTGAATCAGATTTTCAAGATGGTCACTAGTTATTTTGCATTTTGACACTGAGGATTGTTCATTCTCAGTGCATGCCTCACTTTGTAGATGACATTTTTAATCATGTAGATATATTCATTTTATATAGCCAGAGTTTCTTCTGATCCTACATAATCTAGACTAGATATTTTGATGGACAGCTTCATACCAGAACATGGCCAGAGTTTCCTCAGCACCTTACACAAGACTTTAGATGTTTGGACAGATAGATCCCAGAAATAAGATATTTTGATGAATAGATCCATACCAGAAATTTCCTCTGTTTCCTACACATATATACATACAAAAGACCAGACAGTTTAGATATCTGGAATTGTCTGTCAAAATATCTGAACATCTGGTGTAAGAGACAGAGGGAACTCTGATGAATATTTTAAAGTGATATGGCTTCAGACAGTTGCTACAGATTGTACCAAAGACACAAATTGATACCATGTCTTAATACAGATTTAGAGAGGTAGAGTAGAGCCAAACAGTGAACCAATTGTGTCATGCAGCTGTTTCATTTCTCTGGGACTGGGCAGCAATACTAAGGGTCAAAATTTTGGAAGCCTAGGAGGTGACTGAAAAAAAATCCAAAATATTCAAAAGAAAATTCATAATCTAGATTGAGAGGTGCACTAGTCCATGATTTAATTGATTTCGATAATTTTCATATATCAAATCATTTTAGAACGTCAAGTATTTGTATATATTGAACTGGCCACTATTCAAATTGAATTAAAACGTGGCATCCAGGTTATGGAAAGCCTCGGAGACTAAAACTCCCCTAGTTATATAGGAGTGTCTACCTACATGAGTACTGTACCACTGATCCATTTCTTTTAATCTACCGTCTGGAGTGACTTATTCTTGGTAGACAGAATATTATTTGAACTGTTTCAAATATGAAATAAAACATGATTCAACTTTTTGTTTTTGCTTTCAGTACAACTTTACTTTTGGTCTAACTGTGGCCTTGGTGTGGACAATATTAGTGGGCTGTAGTCGAATCTATCTGGGGATGCATACAGCGCTGGTAAGTTGTCCAGGAACTGCATATCTCTCCAACTATAAGCCTGTGTCTAGTGATAAGCCCACCCTTATATAATCTATGTTTAGTAAATTGTGTCTTGTTGCTTTTTCAGCTGTTTTAATCAGTCTGTTCCCTGATCATGACTGGTTATAAGTAATGTGTTATCCCTAGAACTTATTACACACATACATTATACAGATATTCAGACAAAATCTATGTTTGAACAGGAGTTGAGTCGATAGTTTTTAAAGAATTGTTTTGATGAAAATTATTTAGAGACCGTTGATTTCATGCATTTTATTAGCCCACCATCTGATGAGTGTGAGCTATTAAGATTTTCTCTACGTTCGTGATCCGTGGTCCATCCATCTGTCCGTAAAGAATTTTTTTTTTATCACGATTTCTTGAGAAGTACTGAATGTATCTCTCTGAAATTTCACATATAGGTTCCCCTTGGTCTCTAGTTGTGCCTGTGTAATTTTGTAAGTGATCAGAATTACAAAATGGCGGAAAGGCAGCCTTCTTGGATTTTGTCTTTGAAAGTTTGTTATCCTTATTATTTCTTAAGGTTCTTGTTGGATCTTTCTTAAAGTTTATATGTAGGTTCCCCTTAGTCTCTAGTTGTGCCTATGTAATTTTGTAACTGATCAGAAAAGCAAAATGGCTAACAGACTGACATCTTAGATTTTGATTTTGAAAGTTTGTTATCACTATTTCTTAAGAACTACTGTATAGATCTTTCTCAAATTTCATGCATAGGGCTATTTACGTCCCTAGGTGTGCCTATTTGAGTTTGGGACTGATCAGAAAGCAAAATGGCTGCCAGGCAGCCATTTTTTATTTATCCTAGTAAAAATTGTTATTGCTATTTCTGAAGAAGTACTGAATGGATATCTCTCAAATTTTATACATATGTTCCCTTTGATCTCTCCTTGTGTTCGTTTGCTTTTGGAACTGGTCAGAAGAAACAAAATGGCTTCCAGGTGGCCATTTTGGATTTGGCAGGTAAAGATTATTATTTATTTCTGCAAAGGAATATTCAAATGTCTTATCATTAGGAGCAAAAATTGAGAAGAAAAAAGAAGGGTAAAGATTCAACTTTCAAGGAGCATATAAAGATCAAACAATAGTCAGCCTCATGATCCCTCTGGGATCTCTTGTTGAAATATAGATTTGAAATGTAAAGTTGTTTAGTGGGTTGTAGGACGAAATATAGATTTGAAATGTAAGGTTGTTTAGGTGTGTTGTAGGACGAAATATAAATTTGAAATGTAAGGTTGTTTAGGTGTGTTGAAGTACAAAATATGAATTTGAAATGTAAGGTTGTTTAGGTGTGTTGAAGTACAAAATATGAATTTGAAATGTAAGGATATTTTAGTAATTTTTTGTAGGATGAAACATAAACTTGAAATGTAAGGTTAATTTTGTGTCTTGTAGGATGTTATATGTGGGATCCTGACTGCTTGCATGATTATGCCAGTCCTACTGCCTCTGGTGGGGACATTCGACTATCTTCAGATTACTCACCCGCTTGCCCCACTGGTCACAGTGCTAGGATCCTTCATCCTCTGCTTCGTGTATCCACCTGTGAAGGAATGGAATACTGCTCGAGGAGACACCGCCACAGTGCATGGTATAGGGAGTGGCATTTCCTTTGGATGTTGGTTACATTACAATCTGGGTTTAATGTATGCTGTGCCTTCTGGAGCTCCCTATGCAATCAAGTTCCCAACAGTAGAATGGGTTGCACTAAGCTTGGTGCGGATTGCCGTGGGTGCCTCACTCATTGCGGTAGGCAGACATTTCGCAAAGAGGGGAGCTTTAAGATTCCTGTGTTACATGTACGGGCAAGACAGAAACAATATTCAAGTTCAGCGACAAATGAAAGTGGAAACTCCGCAGAAGTTCTTCACCTATTTCACAATCTCTGTGGGAGCTGCTTTTATAGCACCGGCTATGTTTAGAACCTTCGGTATCCACAGAGAGGCTTTCTTTACTGAATTCTAGTGTCTCTAATTTATATGTCAGAAAAAATGCACTCATGGTGGTCATCACATATTTAGATGTTATATAACCCAATTGAACAGTTTTACAACCGCTTAGATTTTTTTGCTTATTTTAATACAACTATTAAAAATGCTTGGAGGTATGAAGAACAAAAGCTACAAATGACATTGGTCAAAGGGAGATAAGCACCTCAAACAAGTTGATGGCTGAACTCGTACAGAAATGTTTTGTAAATAAATACCTATGGATATGTATGTTTTTATTGTGGTGTTCATTGAAGGTTTTTTTTTTTTTTTTTTTAAAGATTTTGATATCAATTGCAGTACACCACATTATTTTAAGAAATTTTCAAACGAAATATCAAGATAGAAAATTATTCCAGCAATATATTTTATTTAGTAAACATACATTCTGTTATGGTTTCTTGAGATATCAAATACTTTTTCAGTGTATTGGTTAACTAGAAAGTGGGAAAAGTTAAAACGTTTTGTAAATGTTTCCAGTGTTCCCCATGTCTAGAACTGTTTCCATAGTATTTGTAGATTGTGTTTACGTGGGTACAACCCAGTATCAATTTTAGACTTTTCTTCCTGTGATATACTCATTTTAATCTTAATATGGTTATCAGGGTCACAGTATCTACATGTTTATTGCTATTATAAAAAACACACTTGTCTGTCAAAATATTAAAGTACATACAGTTATCATACTAACTACTGTAAACATTTTAAGGCCATATAAAATCAACTTTTTAGTTTTTCAGGCTAATTTTTCAAGAAAATAAATCATAGATATTTGATTTTAGGTTTGCTTAACTGTCAACCACATTTTCCTGATGTGGCAGAGATTTGAAGATATCTTATTCTTAACTTTGATTTCAGCAAATAATATTCCATGGCAAATATGTTATGCTGAATGCCAGTTAATTGTGATGATATTTTGATAGCAAAAGTTACAAATTATGGACAAATAGAGAAATCTCTTAATCGTTACCTATAATATTTGACCCAGTGTTGAAAACCATCCTAGATTATCAAGATATTTTGTGATAAGATTTGTGTTACACTAATATAATAACCATTAACTTGTACAAGCAGAGAATTAAAATGCATCTGTGCCTGGAACCACAGCAAAAAAAGAAAAATTTTGGTCTTAATGTTGAAAAATTATTATAGCTTTTAATTATATTAAGTCAGTGCTCTTCTGCTGTACTTCTACTACTTGTTTTACCTTTATTACTTCATCACAGAGTTTGCATCAGTATAGGGATATGAGATGGTGTGTGCATGCATATGACCAAGCATTAAATTGTGTGTTGGAGATTTAGAAATATAAAGACACATTGAGTACTATAAACCGTCTTTCTTTCGACATTTAAATTTCAGGATCACAAGGAATATGATGTACTTTAATCAATTGTTATTTATTATCCCTGACTTAATGCAGTGATTAACTTTCAAGAACAAGAGGAATTCATCTGTTCGGAGAAATCCATCACCATGTGTATCGGTGATTGATCATGAACTGTATCCCTGATTCACATGATACGAGTGCATCATTATACAATAAAAATCCTATATTTTCATAGGGCTTGGTTTTCATTGTTTTCAAAATTTTGCTATTTCCTGACCCAGAGATCACAAAATGATTTTAAACTTCTAAAATTTTAGCCTGAAAGATTATTTCATTACAGTGGGGGCACCTAACTTCATGTATAGATATAGCTAAATATATCGACTACAATGTATTACATATTTTAACAGTTTGTGGACATTTGAATTCATGTCCTAAAAGTACCCACAAAATGGATAAATAAATCCCCAAGAAAATTAGCAATTTTACAGTAAGTGACTTTATTTAATCTGTTTATTTGTGATACATTTGGGAGGACCACATCAGTACATTTAACATTTCAAAACACCATTCATTTTTGTTGTAATTGTTATTGGCTTTTTTAAAAATGTAATTTGAGAAATTTTAATTTTAGTTATAGGCCACGATAAAATGTTTTCCTAAACCCACCAAACGTGAGAGAAAATAATGAAAAAATTCCATTGAAATAAAATTTTCTACGTTTTTGAATATTGGAAATTCTACTTGTGTTGTTTTTGTCTGATTTTGATTTGCTTTTGAACATAAGCATAGGAGATGCTGACATGTGACAATGTCATACCGTATTTACAAAGCAAAATTAAAATATTTATAGAGCTGGGTTTAGGTTAACACATGTTTTATAGGTACAGTTGTACTGGCCTTGGATCAATGCATGTGTTATCTTTTATCTGTACTGATATTTGACCAGAGTATTTAGCCTATATTCCCTAGAGGAACAGATTACACAATAGAATCACTATCATACATATATAATTATATTTACACAATTTTATGTAAACTTTTGTTAATATTTACAATATTAAATCAGATTTTTTTTGTCAATTTTTTTTTATTGTAAACCACCATATTTACTTTATTTCATTGTATGTGTATCATATACCTGTATTTATTTTCAAGAGATATGTACAAGTATTTCATTTTTACTTATCTGTTCAAAAGGACCGATGAGCTTATACCATGGCATGGAATCAGTTGTCTGTTTGTCATCCAGGCAAAAGGCTTCTCTCTGTCTACATTTTCTAAAAATCACTAGTCCTAAATTAAAGGACTGAGTGGATTTTGACCAAATTTAGTCAGGGCCCATTGTTGGAAATTTAACAAATTCTGTAAATTCCTTCTTTCTCTGTAAAAATGATTGATTTTTTCCAAATTTGGTCTGAAACATCCTTTGGTGAAAAAACCCAATTTTGAAAAAATTGTGGATCATGGCCTTCTGGAGCCTCTTGGGCAGGGCCCAAAATAGATTCAAGTGTATATATCTAAATTTTTTATAACCTTCTTCTGTTGCAATGAAATTATTTTGACAAAATCTGTAAAGGGAACTCAGTTTTCTTTAGATCTTGTGTCTTCAGAAGGGCAGGGCCCACTAAAGGAACTTATGGGACGACAAACTCACAACACAGGGTTTCCAAAGTTGGAGGTTGATTAACATTATGGGGAAGTTTTATGGTTGTCATTATAATCTCATAGGGAAATATAATTTCTTTGTGCAATATGAAGCTGGACATGTTTGCTGCTCATTAGTTTGCCTGTTAATTCCATTGTTGTTTACCTTGTTCTCATTTGGTAGCACGACATTTCTTGCTTGGATTGACCAAGATTAGAAGACATTTACTTTTCAGGAGCACCTTATCTGATTCTTCTAGTACTTTTTCAGGAGCCTCCTTGTAAGTCTTTCTTTCGTTCACATTTTGCAATAGTTTTATTGAATTTGAGTTTGGATTATGTTTCTATTCACATATTGGTATTTTTTCTCTTTTTGAAAGTGATTTGTCAAAATCCAATTAGAAGTTTTATGGGAAAAATGTAACGATATAATAGTGAATGGTTTGAAGTAAAAGAGATATGAAGTGATCCAGTCCTCTTGTATTTTTATAACATGATTTTGTGAAATACATCTTGCATATATACATGTGTATACTCATGTAAAAGTATAAAAATCCAGATATATTCAGTAACTACAAAGTACCGTATTAGTGTTTTTCCCCTTTCGTGTATACCGAATGATAATGTTTTCTGAAATGACATTTTTCCCATTTACTGAAAAATTGCAATTTTCAATTCTTTTATTTCCTAAACTCAAAAAATATTCATTTGATGTGTCTGATTTCATCATTAGTTTGAAACTTATCCTGGAAAAATAGTTTTATAAAGCTCATCTATTAAAGAGTATGAGACTAGTCTGTCTCAGGAGGTTTTGGGTAGAAAACATGCAATACATTTGTGCCTGCATCCCAGAACTTGGAAGTTAAGAACTTGTGTAGATATTATTGGTATGCACTAGAAAGAATGGAACAATGATATTTAAGTGTAATGAATCGAGAACGTCTTTATGCTAGACTAATCAAGTTAGGAGTTTTCAGTTACAAGAACAATGTGATTCATCCGGGACGTTTTACTTTGTTATGGTATCATGAGAGGATACATACTTCATAATGATTTAGTGGGACTGGACAGGGTGGTTTGTCTGCTCTGTCTCTGTTACACAGGGACAGGATATATTCTGTACATGTAGTGGAACTGGACAGGGTGATTTGTCTGCTCTGTCTCTGTTACACAGGGACAGGATATATTCTGTATATGTAGTGGAACTGGACAGGGTGATTTGCCTGCTCGGTTTTCGTCACTGTTAACACAGGGACAGGATATATTCTGTACATGTAGTGGAACTGGACAGGGTGGTTTGTCTGCTCTGTCTCTGTTACACAGGGACAGGATATATTCTGTATATGTAGTGGAACATGACAGGGTGGTTTGTCTGCTCTGTTTTCGTCACTGTTACACAGGGACAGGATATATTCTATACATGTATTGTAACTGGACAGGGTGGTTTGTCTGCTCTGTCTCTGTTACACAGGGACAGGATATATTCTGTACATGTAGTGGAACTGGACAGGGTGGTTTGTCTGCTCTGTCTCTGTTACACAGGGACAGGTATATTCTGTACATGTAGTGGAACTGGACAGGGTGATTTGTCTGCTCTGTTTTCGTCACTGTTATACAGGGACTGGATATATTCTGTACGTGTAGTGATCTAGGTCCACTATCTAGCCAGTATATTAGGGAACTATTAAATCTTTTTCTATATCAGAGTGATGTTTTTTATCTTGCAATCCAGCCATCTTTGATTGATTGGAATGAACATGGCTTTGATACCTTCAGGTTTGGTGACCTTTTGACACTGCATAAAACATTTGTATCTTGTATGGTCTAGTTTATTGGTTAACTTTTGGGTCTGGACTGAGATTGAGCTATGGTAAAATGTGACAGAATAAGAACTTTGCTAGTCTGCTATTTTAAGTACAGGATGACCAGCTTTAACATAGCTAGTGGTTTTGTGTATCCGTCCATGAAATGTCATACTATCCCAATGTGTTTTATGTGAACATGTTGCACCTTACCTCTGTTGAAACTAGTCCAAGGTGATGATTGATAAATATTTGTATCCTATATGACTAGTTCACTTTGATTGCTGTCTCTTTATTACAAGTTTCCAATACTCTAATTATCAAACCAGGTTACACATAACGTTTTTCTCTATATCATGACTTGTGATCAGAATAATTGTACTCATCACAAAAATTTGATATCGTACATCTCTAATATCAAAAGATATAAACTTCTTAATAGATATAATTTTTTTTATTTATTTATGTTTTTTTATTTGGTATTTCGCCAGTAATAAGTCCATGCTTGGTAATAAGCCCATCAAAAACCATTGCCATTTTTAGTAGGAATTACATCAATCATGGGCTTGTAGTATGCTTTTCACTGTTATGAAGTACTGAGGCACATAAAAATGTGTCTGAAGAAGTAATGTCAACTTCCTGTTGATGCTATGAACAAGAATACGTCTGTGTGTTAGAAAAAGATAAATTTATCTAGTCTCTTGATCACATGGTTTAATATTTTTGAATCTTTTTCCATTCATTTTTTATAAAATCCAAGTGATTAACTCACATATATCTGTATTAAGTTCTAATACACTTTAGGGTTATTTCAATGTTGCTTCAATAAACATATTACAGGAGATATTGAAGGGGTTAGTAGAATCTAAATCAGTTTATTCTGCTAAATTCTTATAAGTGATCGTAATTGAGACTGTAAACTTGCAGGGTGTGAAGTAATATTAGATAGGAGAAATCAAATCTAACTTTTTTACCATTTCCTTCAGGAATTTTATACATAAAAGCTCTCAAATTTGAAAATTATCATTTGTTCAGTTTACAATGAACAATTGTAGTTGGCTTATATGGAAATTCATGTGAAGGCTAAAGGTCATTGATATCAGTCAGTTGTGATTATATGAAGGTGATTGTATTCATTTAAATTTGTATTGTAAATATAAATTATATCAGTATCATCACAACTTGGTGTGTTAATGAAGATCCCTATATTTCAAACAGAAAAATATATATATATGTTTATGTTTAAAATGGGAACAGTGATTAACTTCAGTCTGAATTACACAGGCACCAATAAAATCCAGTCTGGTAATCTTGTTTCCTACAATCAAGTGTTATTTATACCTGTAGTAATATCTAAGTTCCTTATTCATGTGTGTATAATGTAGAAATTGGTGGTGATATGTTGTGTCGTGTTATATAATCAAGTATTAATATTCCATGTAAGGCTTGTGACCATGTTATTAAATTTCTGAATTCTGTAAAGATGATTATAGTTAAAATATTCTCACTGCTGGATAGTTAAATAGGAATCAGAGGAAAATTAGTTCAGTTTTTTTATAGTTAAAGTATAAGATACACTTCAACTAATGGTTCTTGATATAACATACAAATGGGGGTCACAAATCTTACTTAAATACATCTATGGTCACATGTAAATTATTAAAAACATAGATTGAGTTTGGTGGGATGGAGTGATATAACATGGATTTGTGGACACCCCTGACTTATCTATGGTAATATATATATTGTTACATGTTGTATGATAACTGGTGTGATATTCAGGTTACTTTATCAATGTACACTGTTCTGATATCTATGAAGAGATTAGTTTGTAATTTTTTTTTCAGATCTGTCATATTATTTAATTTCTTGTCAGTATTCATAACAATTTCCCCCTTATATCCTCGCACATTTCATTTTAAATTTATCTTGTTGATATGTTTTCAGTAACACTGCTTGCTACAATACTTGACATATCTTAAAACACCACATAACGTAAAATTAAAAAAATATTTAAAAACATTTTTTTTTAGAAAAAATGAAATATACATTGCTGCTTCTCAGAGACTGAAGTGTTAGCCGAAGTGCTTGCTTCTAGGAGAATCTTGTAAATTACATGTTGGTGTATTTTCAAGATTTTAGATTACAAGATGCTGTTTGCAGTGCATGTATAAAAATATTGATGAAATTAAATGTGACATTTTGTACATGTTTTTATTAAGATATTTAAGTGTTCCAAAATGCCTTGTTTGGTGTAAAAAAAAGAAGTTGAAATGCAGATAAAATTTGTGTCATGGTCACCTGTAATTGTATTGTTTGAAAAATAAATTTGATTTCAATGAGGATTAAAACATCTATTGTGTTATTTTTTGCTCAATTGAGGTCAAGGCTGATGAGATGTCGCCAAAGCAACTTATCTTTTATACCTCAAACATCATGACTAACATGCAATCTGTGAGTAGACCATATATTTTGATAATGTTTATCCATATTAATTCAGAAATACCAGGTAATCCTGTCCCTGATGATATGCCGTCTCATATTATTAACAGATATTGCTGTTTAATAGCATCACCAACATATACCATTTCAATGGCCTCTTATAAACCCATTCTCTGAATTTCAGTGTGGAGCAATATATTGGCCTACTGGACATATTACTCGGTAATATGCCCTCTCCTTCAATTTAAATGTGAATATATTTGCCCACTGGTGTTATTCTGTAATAGTTCCACTCAGTTTGAGTATGAAGTATAATGTTCACCCAATGGGCTTATTAAGCCCTCTCCATCCATTTGAGTTAAATCACAAATTTCCGTGGGGGATTTACTTTTGTTGATTTCATGGGTTTCAAATTCATATATCTACAAACTTAAAATAGATTAAATGACCAGAAAATATCTATAAAATCAAGTATCGGAAAAATTATATTGTTTTTGAAAACCTTGAAAATTGAGCCCCACAAAAACGCATGATTTTACAGTATGATATACGTTTGACCAGTTGACTTATTGTTCTGTAATAAGCCCAGCCCCTAAATTTGTGTACGAAGTAATGTATGGACTCCATTGGCTTATTGCAATAGCAAATACTCCATTTTTGTGTTACAGTTTATTCCTTAACCTTACCAATTGTGTTTACATTTGAAGGAACAGAAAACTAGCCATCTGTCATCCATCTGGTACGGTTAAGTTTTCCTTTCAAAGTTGAATCCATCTGAAGGGAAAATTTAGTATGCATCAACCATTGAATAAGGGAACAAATCTGTATGTCAGGAAAGTAATGATCTTTTCCAGAGTGCAGTCTGATAATCTACATACTGAAAAGAACAATAACTCAGCTGAAGATTTGTAATACAGCAACTGAAGGGACATTAAAGAGGAAATTGAGGCAGAGAATTTAAATTGTCTAGATGAAATATATGCAATCTGTCTTCCCAATTTTAGCAGACAATTTTCTCCTTATCTGGAATTGTTTTAAAATCAGATATTGGCACCGTAACATTTGATTGTTTAACTTCAACTTATTTTAGAATTTCAAAAAGATACTGGATAATTCCACTTCAGTCTTATAGCCTTAAATGTTTACAACTCATGATGATGTTTTTTTGGTGGCTTGGAACGCAAAATAGTCCTTATTTCTGCTAATTTGACTTTGACACGCTTGATTTTATTAGTTCTACTAATATCCTAATATTTTTACACAAGCAATTGCTTTTGGGGAAAATAACATGAATACAAAGGGTGGCAAATTTTTAACAAAGGTTATATGAAAATAAATTTTATGAACAGAAATGCATGTTTTTATGAAGTAACTCCTAATGTGAAAAGCACAGCATGGAACTGGAGATATTTTTAGGCATATATCCAAGAATATTACAAGCATAAACAAATTGAACCTTTTTGAACCATACAGTTGTCAGCTGTTCCACCAAATCAAAATAAAACTCAACATTCTGCAGGTTTAAGGTACTGAGAAGACACTTGCTCATCTGAAACAATTGATCCTATTCTTGTACCTTTTCTGGAGCCTGTAAATAATAATACTAAGTAAATAATGGACGCAGGCAGAACAAATGCCTCTATATCCATATCTAAAATTATATGTTGATCAGGAGATGTTTCCTATAAAAATTCTAAGATTTTCAGTTATTACATAGTATAGACAATGGAATGCTAAATAGCAAAAACATTTTACTATTTAAAAGTTGAAATGACACTAAAAGTTTCCTCTTTATATATTGTTTCTGGGAAGATGCACAAGTTAACTACTCCAAGGCAGTCCACAGTCTTTCATCCGGTCATAGTTTACTCTAATTTGATCAAATTTGTATTTTGATTATGATTCTGTTAACATGTCAGTAATTTATTTGTTGTTTTCGGTAGGAATTGTTTCATCCCAAGATATGTCAATGCTTATTTCAACACCTGTATTTATGGTTAAATCTGGGCATAGCATTAGACTGTACGGGTCTATTATGCCTCTTTTTCTATCTTTTTTTTTTTTTTGGTGAGTTATCTACCTTGTCGACCTCTTCAGTACTTTGAAAATGGCGACTACCGATCCACGAGAACAAGCATTGGGAGATTACAGAAGAAAGCTTCTTGAACACAAGGAGCTGGAAGCTCGACTAAAAGAAAGTAAGAATATGATGTTAGATATTTGTTTATTTTATATGAATATTTACATCGTACCGTAGACCAATTGGTGAGTTGTTGGCTACTGATCATTATGAGCGTCCATCGTTATTTTGGTACATTATTGCATTGTCATTGTCGGAAACGTTTTTATTTTGTGACATTTAACTTCGCATTCTGGATATATATGTTTCAATGTCAGCAGTTATGAAGAACTTTGTAAAGTCAAATTTCTAACAATTTCGTTCCTGTTCACATTTGTTCTATGGCTTTAAAATCATAATTTACATCTTAATCATAGATGGTTTCAGCAATTTCCGTGGCTGTACAATTTCGCACCGGTTACTATACCTTACACTGGCTACACTACAGTTGGTCTGTTTCTATTGCATATTCGCACCAAAAATACTTTGATAGACGTTTTGATATTTGCCATAAACTGTATTTCAAATAACAATGTCAATAGATACAAATGCAGGAAATAGGTATTGATAAATTTGTGTGTTTGTACACATTGCCTTTTAAGATGTATTTTAATTTTCCTAAAATATTCATAGTTATACGTCTTCAGGTGGCAGATGAGAACAGCTAGGGAATCATTATCAACTTCATACTATGTAAATGTGTTATATAAGCAACCAAGTGTATTTTGGTAATAAGTTAGTAACACCAAGCAGGAATAAGGAGATATGAATTTGATAGTATAACATAGAAGTAACTATCTTATTACTGGCTACAGCAATTCAGGGAATATGTTAATTCTGTACAACAAAGAAATTTTTTAAATGTTAATGTTTGAAGCATAGAATCTGGTAGTGTTATTTTTATAATTTAATTTATTATTTCCACCAAAATTAAGTAAATACAATAATTTTTTAATTTTGGTATTAAGTTGTAGATAGGCATACTTGGAACTTTGAAATGGTTATTTAAACATTTTCTTTTGTCTTATTTTTGTAGTGGTGTTTGAATTTTCAAGGAAAGTGTCGTTTCCAAATTGTTGATACAATCAAAACAGAATTAAAGAAACATCTTCAGGGGACTTTAATGCTGATCTGACCGACTGCTATCATTTAACAGTTTAGTCACTACTACTGTGTCCCTTCAATCAACCTGAGATTTTCCAGGAAAAGTATCACAATTTGCAGTTTGATTATATGCAATATATATATTCGCGATGACAATGCAGAAAGAACAATCTTGTATTTGAAAAAAAAAACCCAAAAATCTAGTTATATTTATCCTTTTTATTTTTCCAGTGAGAGAAAACTCCAAGGAGCTAACAAAACAGTATGATAAATCAGAAAATGACCTCAAAGCCTTACAGAGTGTAGGACAGGTACAGTACAGTGGTCAAAACTGATGTAAGGGTGTCTTCGGAAGACTTGATAGGTTTTGTACACCTCATTCAGAGGTAATGGGGAACACTGTTTAAATCTTAGCTGTTGCAAAAATTCATGTGAAATTTATATGAAATTTCACTGCTGTGTGAGCTTATTTTCATATGATAATTGACAAGTTCATTGATTTCCTGCAGTCTGCAATAATGTTTCTCTAGAAATGACTTAAATAATTGTTCTGGATCCTTCACAAAATTAGTTTTAGTCATCATTGCAAGAAACATGGATGAAATGTTTTGACAGCTATAATAGAAAAGTATTGGTTTCCTACTCTTGTATACATGAGAAGCTGTCTTTAAGTTATTTGTTAAAGATTTAGATAAAAAAAATTGTGATATGACTTGAATTTGCCTTTGGTAAAACAAAAGCCTTGAGGTCAGTTTATGTACACAAAGTTATATACTTAAATTGTGATCATGTTGTGTGGGATTTTAAAATCTGCAGGTCTTTAGGTCAGCAGTTCACTAATCAGGATTAAAATTTAAATTGATGTATTCTGTAAAGTACAGATTGATTGGTAAAAGTAATGGAGAGAAAAAATTATCCTTGAAAGTTAACATGTTAAATGTGTTTTATTGGTCAGATTGTTGGAGAAGTTTTAAAACAGCTGACAGAAGATAAATGTAAGTATGACTGGAACATACCAGATATGGTCATCAACTGTCCTATTTGTATTTACACTTAAACCAGTCCCTTCACCATGTCCTGGTGAACTTGTACTACATCAATATTACTCTGACACTCAAAATACTTAACAAAATGATATAACATGTTTGATGATCTGAATGTTTTAAGATTTAAAGTTAGACCCATTGATATATAAAAATGGAGATCCAGCTTAAAAGGGATAATTTTTGCCCAGTTTTGCAGTTTTAAAAAAGCTTATTTCATCTGTGTTAAAAGTTTGATTCACTCAAAATTATGAAATAACAAGAAATTTTCTAAATTTCTAGAAAAAAAAAATCAATGGTTTTCCTGGCAATTTTGGAAAATTGCTACCTGGAGGAAATTTGGATGGATTTGTTTATGGTTAAAGGCAAATGTGACAAATTGGGGTAAACAGGAACATCATTGTAGGAGTTGTGTTTTCACATTAAATTATATCTATTATAATGATTATGGGAAGATTTTAAATAACATGCACAACTGGAAATTAGCCTGAGGTAGAAAATATGTACCCATTGTAATGAAGTAAATACACGGAAAAAATACTGTATTTTCTCAGCTTATACAGACCCAGACACCTTTGAAATTCACAAGAATAATATTCATAATATTTAACTGAAAAATATCACTTATAGCATGCTGTCATGGTATAATAAATGATTCTATTGAGCAGTTGAATTTCTTTAAGTATAATAGGGTCCTGTAGATGGCGAGGATGATGCTCTAAACAGAGCACAGGTCAAAAATGGGTTAATGTGTCATTCATGCTTCTGTGTAACAATTTATTGCAATAATGTAAGCAAAAAGTTTATATGTTATTGTTTTAATGAATGTTTTCTGCTTTAAGATGTTTTTCTTCATTTATTTTTCCAGTCATTGTTAAAGCTACGAATGGACCAAGATATGTTGTTGGTTGTCGACGCCAGCTGGACAAGACCAAGCTCAAGCAGGGAACTCGTGTTGCCCTGGACATGACCACACTAACCGTTATGAGGTATGTCTTGTAGGAATTTGCTACATTTTGCAAATTTGATACAAATTACTATTAAAGCAACTTGATATTGACTTTTATGTGAAGAAATCAGTAAGATATTTAAAAGTTATTGAACTGTTAAAGTTTATTCCAGTGTTCCTTTACCTTGCATGACTCCAGTTGTCAATAAGTCGTGAAACAACACAAAACTATAACAATCATGTGTAGTTGAAATAGTTAAAAAATTCCTTTGTGAAACAATTCACTAACAGTGTTAGTTTAGTGAGAAAATTTGTTGAGAACTTTAATGTTTACCTCATTCATTCATTCATTCATTCATTCATTCATTCATTCATTCATGCATTTGTAGATACTTACCTCGTGAGGTTGATCCACTGGTGTACAACATGTCAATGGAGGATCCTGGTGATGTGAGCTACAACCAGATTGGTGGTCTCGGTGAACAGATCAGAGAACTTAGAGAGGTAATGTTACATCAGATGTTTGAAGATTTCAGAAGACTCAATGAAAATTTGATTTAAATTTATTTCCTTTTTACTGAACCAGAAATAACATCAACTTCATTTAAAAAAGTAAAGAAATGTAAACTGATTTCAAAATATGTGAAAAATAGTCAAACTGTCCCTGACCTGAAGTGGACAGATAAAGAGTGTTTAGAATCTGCATTATGAGGTCTTGACAATTATCATTTTGTACATCAGGTTAAGATTACTTGGTGAAAATAAATTTATCTTCCAAAATTTTGCTAAAGATGTTCTGATATAACTGATTATGTTGCCCGTCTAGGTTATTGAACTTCCGCTGTTGAACCCTGAGCTGTTCCAGAGAGTAGGCATCACCCCTCCAAAAGGCTGTCTTTTGTATGGTCCTCCAGGTACTGGTAAAACTCTCTTAGCTCGAGCTGTTGCCAGTCAGCTGGATGCAAACTTCTTAAAGGTAAGCAGTATTTGCGCAGCTTTATTTTACTATCATCTCACAGATATAATTTTACCATTAAAATTCCTGTAAACACAAGCTCTATCATCACCCAGGTGATTCAGTTGCAGGGTTACAACATTACAACAGTTGGAATTGTTGTTATGGTGATTTGTCAATCAAAATAATCAATATCTGATACCTAATGATCAAAAATATCTTGGGTCTTAAATGAGTATGGTATGATGATTCTGAAATGAGTTTCAAGAATTTTTTAAATCTCAGTGAGCTAAAATGAAAAATGTTCATAAATCATGAATCATGATGAGAACAAATTTAAGATCCTTTTTATCATATGATTAAGTATTCAGGCACCATTCAAGCACAGGTTGAAAACGGAATTTCAATGTCAGACTTGATAGTCTTTTGGGTCCATTATGTTCTCCATTGTTAGGTCAAAGTACAATCTGTTAGTATGTGAAGACATTTCATCACTAAACCAAGCATCACGATAGGTTATGTTACCCATGTGTAATATGTAAAAAAAATCTTATCTAGGTACAGTCATTGAATGATAGGGCAAATGTGATAAAGATATAAAGTTTTACATTTTTAAAAGGCGATATCTGATAAAAATCATTACCATATTATCTAACAATAAGTCCATGTCCTGTTATACAGTAAGTAAGGTCACCCCTATCACACCTATTTTTTGTTCAGTACAGTTACAAACAGATGCAACAATTCTACCTACTGATTTGTATGCACATGCGTGGGTGCGCATGTGCACATGTATTTGTGGTTTTTTTTTTGCTTATTGCTGGATAGATACGTGAAGAACAATGAAGAAAATACCACATACCTCATACCTCGCTGGAGAGCTCCTAACTTTGAAATAAGATATATTCCTGATTTTTAATCAAAGAACACTTGTGAATAATATCACATAAAAATAAAGTACAACATCTGTCTGTAATAACAACAAAATAACAAAAGCATTGTTCACTATGAAAGCATTTAGATCCGTATAGATTGAAGGGAGAGAAGCATACCCTTGCTAGCACTGTAGTGGATAGAATATACAGGTTTGTTGAAAACTAACTAGGTCGTACTATGGTGATGTACATATGTTAACTATAGGAAAGGATTCCTGTTATAAATGTATTCAAATTCACAGAAATACATTAATAAGTCCAATCACCATCTGAAGCAGCACTTTTTGTATTCAAAGCTTTCCTTTAGAGTTTTTTCTACCTCAAAGAGCTTAGATTTTGCACATACCCAAAGCCTGCATTACAATGGAATTTAGATTGATTCAGCTGTGTTTCAGGATCTCTCAGAGTGACTTCAGTCTTATCTAGTATCATTTGGGACCATAGGATTATGTCATGAGATACCTTACCTAGTGTGAGATTGTTTAAATGGAATGTCTTGTTTTCAGGTTGTCTCAAGTGCTATTGTAGACAAATATATTGGAGAAAGTGCCAGATTGATCAGAGAGATGTTCGCCTTTGCCCGGGATCATGAACCCTGTATTATATTCATGGATGAAATAGACGCTATTGGTAAAGTGTTCTTTGAACTTACAGCTCATCATATCTGTAACTCAATAATCCAATGTTGATTATAGATGTCAGTATTATGAAAATAAAATGGAAAATTATTCAAACAAATTTGCATAAAATAATCAACTTTTTATTGTGTGCATCTAGAAAAAATACTAACTTAACCCAATGTAAACATATGTCTCTAAATGTCTAAAAAGATGTACCATTAAAGAATAGTTGATAAAATATATGATATGGAGGAGTTTGTATGAAAGTGATGGGTCAGAGGGCTACCAAGTCTAAAATGTAATAGGACTTCAACAATACCTAACAGACTTACAGATAAAATTTTGTTATCTAAACTGTCAGTCTGAGTTGTTGTTTTGGACTGAAAATCAGAAAATACATTTTTCAGTTTTATAGATTATAACTGATGTTGATTTGCTTTGATTTAACAAAAGTAGTAAGAGTCTCAGTTTCTGTCTTTCAGGTGGGAGGAGATTTTCAGAAGGAACATCTGCAGACAGAGAAATACAGAGAACATTAATGGAGGTTAGGTTCTGTATAGTTTTTAGTATGTTCCTAACATAATCTTTTCTGATTGTGAATAAATCCATTGCTGAATGGATTTTGGATTGTTCTCATGAATGACCTTGACCTGCTTAAGGTCAAAGGGATCAATTGAGCTAAAATCTTTACACAACATCTCCTTAACCAAGAGACGTAGAGTTCATCTATTTCACCCACATCTTATATACTGTAAAATAAGAACCATGAAAGTTAAGCAAATAAACCTAAATAACTTGTCACTCTATAATCTGCAGAATAAGTGAGTGATACAGGCCCTTTCGATTTTTTTCAAAAAAATTGGTTTGTTTGATGTTTTTGTAACTCTCGATGTTCGAAGACATGTTTAGACATTTTGAAAAGTATCCCTGATTTAAACGAAAACTTAACTGAATATGACCTTTCATGCATTGTATTGGTGTTATCTTTTGAAACAGTGTAGGACAAAAATTAAATTTAAATAGAATTTCTTCTTGAATACAGCCATTGATGGATGATTTGTAAAAAATTAAAAAAAGACAATTTCTACATTATCTGTGGTGAATAATGAAAAATGTATCAAAAAGTTCAAAGTAATTTTGCTTAGTTAAGTTGGAATTTCGTTCAAGATATTTTGCAGTATATTTTGAAAATGTGGATGAAGAAACTTTTTCTGCATCAACTTAAAATATTTCCCAATGGAGTTATGCTGTTGTCAGTAGCTTCAAGTGTTTTTTCTTTCTTTGACTAGTTGTTGAACCAGATGGATGGATTTGATGCATTAGGTCAGGTAAAAATGATAATGGCAACAAACAGACCAGATACACTAGACCCTGCTTTACTACGACCAGGACGCTTAGACAGAAAGATAGGTATGTAGACAAAACACCTCAAATGTCAACACTTATCTTAATATATATTAATTGTTACAATAATTCCTACTTGTGATGGAAGTCATCTGGAGTGATGATGAAGTGGGTACAATATTGTTTGACCTTGTGTGACCCACAGAAGTCATAAATAGTTTGCAAGACAGCGCTTTCGCTCTTTCTTATTGGCTGTAGTTTGACTTATTTATACCGTATCTCTTTTCATACCCTATGCAAAGTATTCGTGTGTGTGTGATAAAAAAATCTGTCTAGCTTTCTTCTATCTATTTTTGGAGAACTAAAGCAGAAGTGATGATTATTCTGCTTGGTCCAGTGTAGCTGTAAATAGGTAGTGTGCTGTTTAGATGTATAAACAATTTTCACAAGTATTAACTGTCATGGTTTGTTCTAAATATTTAATGTTTCTGGGTTTCTTTCAGAAATCTCATTGCCAAATGAACAGTCAAGATTAGAAATTATGAAAATCCATGCACAGCCTATAGCCAAGCATGGAGAAATAGGTAAGTGTTCATTGTCTGGAGGCTTTGATTTGATTCAAATATATGTTGATATAGTGTGAGGTAAGGGTATCTTGGAAAAGATACTATGATATCACTGGCAATACCATTTTGAGAGATATGACAAAAAGATACAAAGAGGCAAATGTAGTAATGTGTATCATTGTTGAAATATTAAGTCAAGAAAAGGAACTATAGCAGTCAAAATATTCCAAAATTTGAGACTGTTTTACCAAATTACAAGTAATATGGTAGATAGATGTACAGCTTTTAATCTGACCCTTAAGTGTAATTTATTTTGAATATTAATTTACTTGTGAAATTTACACTGTTTAATGAACATCTATCATATGACATGAGGGATTAAGAATTTTTTATCCATATTTTTCTAATGTTTTCAGATTGGGAAGCTGTTGTCAAATTGTCTGATGATTTTAATGGAGCTGATTTGAGAAATGTTTGCACAGAAGCAGGTATCAAAATTTATCAAATTTCTCCTCAGGACTCTGTAGGCTTCTGGGTACAAGGAGTTTCTGTATTGGTACCTTGTTGTTGTATTAAATATTGTATGAAAGAATAGTACTTTTCAACTTATATTAAGAATTAGATACAGTTGAGCCACTTAATGAAATGAATTGTATTTTACAAATGTATTGTCTTAGGACTTTTCAGTGAGGCTTAGGGCCTAAATTTTGAAACCTTGGAGGCAACCAAAGAAAAATCAAAATCGATAGAAATAAATGGCAAAATCTAGATGGATATGTGCACTATTTTATAATTCAATAAATTTTGCAATTCATATATCTGCTAATTTTAAAAGAACCTCTGAAAAGTACATGTGTATTCAAATACTACTATGCCATCTACAAAAGAAAAGTGAAGTTTAGTTGTGCAAGTTTTTAATCTCCTATAGATGTTTAAGACCCATGATATTGTATTTAAGTCAAATGTGTGGGCAAATTACCAACTGATCAAGAAACCGCCAGATTGTAATAAATGTACATATTCTCATTGTTATAACTTTACAGTGTATTTCATTGTGAAAATCTTATGAACATGAGATTGTTCTTTCTTCCATATTTTTGATGCTGAAAGAAACTTTCACGCTTGTCTCTTGTTTCAGGTATGTTTGCTATCCGTGCTGAACGCGACTACGTAATAGAAGAGGATTTCATGAAAGCTGTTCGTAAAGTTGGTGACAACAAGAAGCTGGAATCTAAATTGGACTACAAACCCCTTTAATAGACTGTTAGATATACAAATACCACAAATGTGACATGTTTTCATCGATGGATACAAAACATGACAATATTTATGGAAAATGAACTCATCACATCATCAGTGTGATTCCATATTCTTATGATTACATCTAAAGTGTTACAATAAAGACTTGTACAGATTTCTGTTTTCCACCTTTGCTTGTGACTTTTTGTGAGGACAAATGGATATATACTTCAAAGTCAGATATCATATATTACTGGCTAAAATATTGATAGAATTTCAAACTATATATGACTCAGATGGTATGCATTATGAAGGAATTAGGTCATTCCAACTTTCAGCTAAAGAGAGAATTTCACGAGATGATTTCTTTCGTTAAATATATTTTTAACACTGTATGGAACTATTAAATGTGCATTACATCTATTATAGCCTTTCAGCTGGTGAGGGATGGAATTTCATATTTATGCCTGAAGGGAGAGCTTGAAGTCCCTGCTTTGTGTGGCCATCTGTTTGTCCGTCTGTCCATCATAATTTATGTCTGAAGTATATCACAAAAAATTTAAAGAGATTACTCTTAGGTTGATAGCTCTCTATAAGGGAAAGTGCAGAGTACAAAAAACCATAGCTGTCTTTTGTATAATTTAGGAGTTATTAAAACTTGGGTGTATGCATTGGTCATACTCAAGAGAATGTCCAGTATACTAAAGTCAGGGACTGCTACTTCTTGATTACAGAATTATTGCCTTTTGATCAAATTTTGTGTCCAATAAAGTTGTTATTGGGACATTCATCAATTTCACTGATACTCTTAGTTTATGGCCAATTAGTGTTTTATTGTTAAGTATTTCTTTATATTCAAGGAAACAGAATCAGCAAAGGTTAGGCTTTCCTATTGAATTCTTTCAATGTACATCACAACTGGCCAGGAAATATGTCAACATAGGGCTGGCAAATTTATCAACATAATGTTAAGTAGGTTGTATTTGTTGCCCTGTGATCAGCCAGGTTCATTTTGAGTTGGGCTCTCTTGTGGTAACTGATGGCTACTGAAATACTTGTAGGTGGCTCATCATACCTTTGTAGAGACGACCATGACAGCACAGACAAGCCTGTTTCTCAAGCTTTCTGAGTGACACAAATCACCATGAAAGAAAATATTGAACCGTACACCTCAGATTCGTATCTGCAGTTATGTAGGCCAATCTATCTTGGCTCCACAGTATGTCAAAGTAATGTACAATATATCAGTGCATCGTGTGAAACATTCAATAGCTGGTTTGGTTTTGTCTAAGCATGCTACTGAAATGTGACCCTATTGGTGGTTTTCAGATGGTTGTTAAAATTTCTTCAAAAAAAAAACTGGGAAATTTTAACATAACTGTGTAAAAGTCTGTAATCGACATACAATGTATTTGGTAGCAATGAGAATCAACTTGCTGGTCATCTTATCAGTATGATGACAGTATGATGACAGACAAAAAATTCATTCTTATTGGACTGTAAAAGACTTTCAACGAAACTGATATATTGGTTCAGAAATGGACCAAACATTAAGAAAAGATTCATCAGAATTTGGGTTGATGATGAGATAAAAAACAATTTTGTTTTCAGCTTTTATTTTATATTTTCATCATTTTATATTATACGACTAATTTACATCTTCACATCTCAGTGGTTATGGAATGAATAGTTAGTTGAAACTGATAGAAAGAGAGAAAAAAAAACTATAAAACACTTTCATTTTTGTCACACACACTTAGTACATCAGTACCCATCCAAAATAATTGTCATGATTGGGAAGGTAAACCAAATGCAACTTCTAGTAACATCCAATAAAGTTGAGCACTTTAAAGATAAATCATGGGAAATATATACTTAAACTGCAAATACATATAATAAATAAAAAAGTTATTTACAAAATGGTGTGACAAATCACATACTTTCCCAGCAACATGATGGTACATAAAAAAAAGAAAAAAAGATTCATGCGCAAATGAGTGATTGGAAATATGCAGGACCTGATATACCCGACAAAACCATGGCCTACTGATGTTCATCACTACAATGAGCTGTACCAATTTTACATGACAATGGCAATTCTGAGGAATTTTCCCAAACCTGGAAAAAATCTTGTGTCTCGAAATATTTCCAAATTATTCAACTGTAGAGACAGTCATATCCATCACTGTGCCATGTACACCTAGCAGGTAAAGTGATTCTGGAACTAATTAGATAATCTACCACTAACAATTCTGTCTGTAAGACAAAGAAAAATACACTAAACCCACCAAAACTATTGTCTACACACTACAATGAATTTGAGAAAGACAATACTAATGACTTATGGTACTCCAACAGAAAAAGCAAAGCAACAAGGTAAAGTTAAACTGTTCCCTAATGGTGTATGACAACTTTCACAAACACTATTTAGGAAACATGACACCAATTTACAACTGGTTAAAATCAATTAGGATAAATTTTACAGGAACACTGTACAAGTGACATTCTTCTCAAAATCTCAGAAACTACTTGTAAAAAAATATCTGAGCCAAGTTACACAAAAATAGCTTCTATAATATTCTCAGCTGCAGATTTTCCCAACAAACTTCAAATGACAAATTCAAGAATAGAGATATCCAGAATATTTTAACAAATAAACAGTTGATAGAATTAACTATTACACTTGACAGGAAACAAATGAGACTACATACAAAACTAGGATACAAGATAAATTATTGCACAAGATAAATTCAATTGTAGGTGTTCTTCTCATTCATGTATTTTCAATGAAATAAAATGAAGATGTACAGTTCTTATTGACCCTATACAAATTTTGATTCAATTAAAAATATTGGTTTTCAAATGTAGTACATGCACACAATATGATTTCTATGTGAAAATGCCAAAAAAATATTTAATGGTCATATCATCAATGGTATTAGCCAGTGTTTAAGATATATTGAAGTTACCTATAATAGGCACTTTATCAAATAACTTGTACAAAATTTTTTGCACTGGCCAGAGTTAGGCATTCAGTACAAATATCTCTTTCCTGATGACAGCAGAGTGCTCTTCTGATCAGAGGTTCACAACAAAGTACTCTCCTGATCAGAGGTTCCTAGCATTCAGTACACAGAAAAATGTGCTCAACCTCTTGTGAGATACACACATTCTGCATGCAGTACACAGCAGACCTCTCATGACCAGAGTCAGACATTTTGTTCTGTACACATCACAATGTCCTCTCCAAATTAAAGTTCGGCAAACACTATCATCACTAACTGGATATACTTGTCTTGGAGAGCATGGCACATTTTGAATATCGCTTCTTGTGTTCTTAATCAGCTTGGCGCTAAACAGATATCATCTTTAAGATCAGATCGGGTGAGTGCAGGAAATGTGTCAAGTCTTCTGTTGTTACTAGTTCTCAATTATTACTCAACTCTGTCCAAAACAATTAAAGTACACCAGGCTCTGTTCCCCTGCTCCTAATAGTAATAGTATACAAGACTCTGCCCCTAACATTTATAGTATACCAAATTCTGCCCTAACAGTTACAGTATACAAGACTCCGCCCAAACATTTATAATATAGCGGACAAAGTGTTTGTAGACTATCAAGAGGCACTGACGGACTTTGTGATATTTGAAGGAGAAGAAGAATTAGGACGGCCAGCAATCAGTGGAGGTGGTTGATGAAGTATCGTTCTTTGGGGAGGAAGTAATCTGCAAAACAAAATGAGATTTTAATATGATGCTAATGCTGTCTGGTTCTAAAAAAACATTTTTCAAGGAAGTACTGCATATACAGAGCAGGCTATGCAGGTAAAATGATCAGTCTGCAAAATATGTTGAAATTGATTTATTAGACTAGAAAATGAATGGCCCAACACCCATGCTGCTGGTTCCACACAGGAATCCTCTCTAACTGGTTCAGACAAGAGAGATGGACATAGGCAACAGTCCTCACTCTTCCATCTAACCCTACAAAATGGAGGGGACATGAAACTAGCTGACAATACTTTAGATAAATACTGTCAATAAATCCTGTATGATTCATGTACAACATAAATTTCTTCTACATACAATGGGCTAGAGAAGAGTGATGCATGTTTACCTGGAGTGTTGAGGTACTGATGGCACCCGCAGGCTAACAGATCCCTGAGCTTGTTTGAGGAGAGGTGGAGGAGCAGTAGAGGAGGCTGAGGTCCCATTTTTGTCATCAGTACTGATACCATTCATTTCTATCTCATTAGAGTCAGTCTCCATCTGAATTAATATGTCAGCAAAATTGGGTAAATTCATTTTCAAGTATTTCATTATCAGCAAATTGAAAGACAATGTTTGTGGCTTTATTGTTGTCAGGTAAACACTTTTTCAAGAGGCTTTATTTTCACCTATTTTTGGACGGTGGAATATCATTTTTAAAAATGGATTCCTTGAGGATGAAATTATTTTACAAAACCATAATTTTATGGATTTTCTGAAAATACATTCTTTTGAAATAAAAAAACTGCCTTTCTGATTTACAAAATTTAAAAAAATAATAAAGATTTAAATGTCTGGGATTAATGTAAATATATTCACAAAAACATTCAGTTATAGTGTGCACAAAACGTCTTTCACCTTTTCCTCTTCTTTTGTCTCTTCCTCATCCTTCGTATTGTCTGTCCCATGTTCTGCTTCATACTCTGCCAGCACTTCATCTAAATTATATCGTCGTCTAAAGTTTACAAAGAAACTTCGTACATGAGCTTCTGTCTTGTTTCCTATCACCTCTGCGATAGCCTGAAAGTCTTTTCCATATTTTCGGACACCTGTAGACAAAACAATTTCACTTTATAACAATTCAGGAAATTACAGTCCCCAAACCCTTCTCAACATGACAGAATCCAAATACTAAATATCAATTTTGATATGGTCAAAGGTCAAAATGAAGGTTGTAGTGACCTACTTTTGATAAAGCACATTGTCTCACATAGGTACATTGCCTCACATTGGGGACCCTTTACACCAAGTATGACATTTCAGTAACAAGTAATGTAGGAGATACAGCCCAGACAAAAGCAGCAGGATGGATGGAAGGACAGATGAAGGACACAACACAAAATTATAGGTCCCTTCCTTCTGGTTTGGGGCTGTTAAGAGACATCACTGCAGTACATTTTCCTTGTTTTAAATACCTATATGTCTACTAACCTTGCACTCCTAGCAATAGCTCCTCATTGGTCCACTTTGCATTAATACGTTGATTACTCTGAAACATAAATTTTGATATAAAACAATCAGTCTATAAAAAAGTGTATAAAACTACTTGTCAGTACAGAATGCTAATCGGTATTTCAATTATATTCAAACCTTAAGAGGCATATTTACACAAATATTTGCTTCATTACTGACACAATACTGGGGGAGGGGGTACTTTTTATTTCAGTTTTAATTTTGTTTACAAAGGATGGAGTGGTTTAATATTTACAAGTTATGAATCACCACCTCTTTCATGATACAATTAGAAATATTTTGAAAGTTTTTATATCATATGAAACCAAAATCTGAGAGTGTAGTTTACCTCTGGAGGTTTTAGTTCATCTATACCACAGGTCAGTTTGTGTTTCTGCATGCTGATTATCTGTTTGTTATTCTGCACCTAAAAGTGTCACAATAAAGACGTGTAAAATTTGCCACATTTTCTTCTTTGTAGTAATCAATGGATTCAGATATCACTATTTACAGAATAATTGTCACGTTATGTTTTACACAAATAATATACTGTTGAGGTTAAATCATTGACAATTTGAAAAAAAAAAAAAAAAAAATGTTGCCCTTCTAACGAATTTGACTGCTGAAAATTCAAGAAATCACTCCTAAACCAATATTCCAGGAAATTGTCTCACTTTTTATGAAGTAAACGGGCCAGATGTACATTCAAAATTGAATTAACCTTTGAGACTTAAAATCTGAGAAGCCATCATCTACAATAAAACAATGCCCCTTATCCCACCTATATGTACTACTATTTTAAAGAGTTACCAACAAACAGCATTACATTGCCCTTCATCAAACACGACCCCTCCCGAGTCACAGGTAATGTGTTGGCCTCCTGAGTTGTTTGCATGATAATAAGGTACATCGCAAACCTGAGCAAATGCCTCTAGTGTGGTTCAGCTTTCTCAAGAAAGGAATGGGATAACTTCAATACTTGTGACAAAATTTTCACTGAAAATGATATTAATATGAAACACGATACCAGTTGACATGGTATTATTCAACAAGCATTACACTGACCATAGAGTGCAAAGCACACTGTTCATTTTGCCTAAGCCTGTGATAATTTGATCAAGGGATTTACCTGTCGCTTGATTGAAACTAGTTCTGTGTCCAATGCTTTGAGCAGTGCTTCAGCCTGACCAGACAAACCACTTCCTACCAGCTGTAAATCCTCGGTGTTGATGTGCATTCCGCGTGGAGGTTTCCGTTTGTGTTTCATGGGATTGTGTCGACTGTGGCCATGGTCATGTCGTTTTGACCTGATCACACCGGTTCTCCTGTATAAACCATAACCATATTTGTAGCAAGCAAAATACCAAGATAAACAATTTTAACATTCATTAGCTTACATGAAGCAGAATTTTCAAAATCAATTCTTTCAAAATTTTGCTCATATTGTAAATTGCTATATTCTACTTTAACTGTTATATCATCTGAATGTTAGTAGGTAATAGCTCAAGTATATTATTTTTTTCTCAGTTTTGTCAACAATCAATAATGAATTTCATACAGCACATTTAAGACCTAGTATTTTGTGCACTATTGTGAGACCATTGATATAAATTTCACTTACCTTTCATGATAAAATTCTCTGTCTTCTTTCTACAACCAAAATCAAAACGTTAAAACAATCCAGCTCTCTGACCTAATGCTATATCTGTTTTGCTAGGTACATTTTTTTGTGAGGGATCATCTAAGCTGTCTTAGGAAACAAAACCATTAATCTTTCCAAGATCAAGATCACTTTAAACCTCATCTTGAATCAAATTATACATTAAAAAACATTTGTTATGGGATAATTTACCATCACAAATCAATATTTATCAATAACCAGAGAGTGATTTCTACATGCCTCATTTTCCTTGGCTTCATCTTTTCCATTTTCTGCTGGTTTACCATTTTCATCTCCTGATTCCTCGTCACTATAAACAAAACAAATGCACAAAAGGTAACAAGGTTTTTCCCTTTATAATGACCTGATGCTTAACATTAAATCATCTCTTTATCTTGTGAAACAGTTCTAAATGAAATTTAGCAAAGATTCTTTACCGGAATATTCTTTTAATTCAAACCATCAATTTTTAAAACCAAAGTCATGCCATGTTCATGCAAGACAAGTTCAATCAATGAAATTTGATAATTTAAAACTTTAGAGGTTAATTTTTGAGGATCTAATTAAGTATATGATTAAACATTTGCATATTTACCTGTCTCCAGCTTTACTGAGTTTCTTGGCCTGTCTGTCCATTAGACTTGTTCGTGATCGAGTCTTTTTCCAGGAGTAGTAGTATTTGACAAGGCTAGCAATAGACTTGTCTGGCAACTATCAAAAAAGAAGAATCATTTACTCCATGTTAGCCACACAAAATTTATCGCTGGTATTAACAGAAAACATCTGTTTCTATTTCATGTTTTACTTTTATACTCTTAACTGTTGTTGAGAAATTGGCAGAGAAGCTAGAAATTAAGTTACTTATTAAACTGAGGAACAGAAGTTGCAGTTTAACAACATTTTAAAGATTTTTTCATTGATATTTTAAATCTTCATCAAGATCTTTCTTTTGATCACACACACAATTAGAATTTCTGTGAATATTGCAAAAAACATTTATTTCAAGGTCATTCTGATAACTCAGAAATAATTCTGGAGTAGAAAGTAATATATCTCTACTAATTTCAATAGATTAACTGTCACCTATTTACAAGCTGGAGTCTATAACATCATAAAAACATGTTTTGTAAAATGCACTCAAGAAAGTAAATTTATTGACTATTGATAAAATCCCAGTACAATCGCATTATAAATGTTTACTACATCCACAACACCATCTTAAAATATATCTTACCATCTGTCTGATGCGATGAAAACTTTTCCCATGAAAGCTGAATGCTTGTTCAAATAACACCTTGTCCTCCACAGTCCACTCATCAGGGAAGGGGGTGAAGTTGGGCAGGTCAGCTAAGGCTTTTTCTATGTTGTGTTTATGCCAAAATAACATGCCAAGGGCCTTAAACACAAATCAGTAAGAGTTATGTCCCTTGTAAGAGACAACATCTTCATAATGTTCACAAAATAATGCCATATTTAATGGTACAAAATTCGTGAACTTACCTGTTCAGTGTTGTAACCATGCTTCTCTTTGGCTATTGTGACATATTCATCAACTAAAAAAAAAAGATTTATTTTTAATTTGTTGTTGATATGCACCGTTTTATAATTATGATAAAATGATATTGTATAATCTATATTCCCCTTTCAAAATAAATATATCATCAACAAGAATGACATTAATATGATATATTGATACACAAGAGTACACAACCTGACAATTACCTATCTTTTTCCAATTATTTTAATAACAAAGTGTCAAATCTGTAAACACACAAGTTATTCATATATCATCAAAATACCAGAATAGTCAGAGTGAATCTTTATTATAACAAGAAAATGATTCATTTTAGTGTCACATAAAACATTTTTCACATAATACATTGGAGAAAATTAATTATCTGGCCAAGTATTGGCCTACAAGATATCATTTAAGAAATTAACATCAAGGAACCAGCATATCATATTACAAATTTATCTCAACATCATCAATTCAAAATCAGCATGAAGAGGGTTCTGAACTATATCCTACTGGTAGATAAACTAGCTTAATAAGCAAAAAAAGGACTTCATATTACTGTATATTTTTGTCAAGGTGATGGGAGAATTATTCTGCTACAGGGACAAGTAACATAACCTCAATCCTTCAGAAAGCATAATTACTGTATTCTCGATCATTAAAGCAAAATGGATTTAGAACTTCAAAGATTGAAGCCTGTACCAAGTAAGGATGAAGTTGTTTTAAGAAAGGATACATCATGCAAACTGCATAGTTTATACATATGGCCTAATACTTTTGGAAATGTATTTACCATTGATATCAGACAACTCGCTTCCAGGAGCCCATACCAAAATGGCTTCATTTCGCTGATCAGGTCGTAGATCTGAACAAAAGGAGATATTATTAATATCACAGGTTTTTAAAAATGTATTTGTTCTCTATCTTTTGGATGTAATAAATTATAGAACACAAAAATCAAAATTCATTCAAGATGCAAAAATTTGGTCAATGGAAATCATGTACTTATTTAAATCCATATCCAAGTTAGTATAGACATAACTCTATGCTACATATTTTAAAATTCAGTAGAGTTATCCCCCTTAATATCATTCAACATTTAAATCAGAAGATTATTCGAGTTGTTTCTGCAAGGGAACCTTTTCTATACAGTTGCATTTGAAAGGTCTCATATATTGAACAAAAGTTTTAAATAAAAAAAAATACACTTAGATAAAAGATTCCAAATGCATAACATTATTGACATTTGACAAAGAATTGGTCTGATTTTAATATTCTAACATGAATTGAAATTTATTCCAATATCAAGCTGCTTTTTGTCATTAAACAAGTTTTCTTTAGCCATACAACTTGTCGCAATATGGAAAAACTTATCTTATTTAATAACTTCATATTTCATAAGATATATATACATACCCTTTGCCTAAATAACAAAGGAAAAAAAAGGCAAACAAACACTTCTATTTCTGGAAAGAAGTTTTTTTTCCCTTTTTCTCCAACATTGGCAATTTTCTAAAACATGCACAATTTCTATTTTCATAAATTCCTCATTTTTGTGGTCTGCATCAGAAATCCATTTACAGTGCATCCAAACGGACAAACAACTACAATGACCACTTTTTTTTCCATTGATGTTGATACTGTTTTATGAAATGGATCGATCTTATGATATTATTTTGCATTCTGACAAATTTGTGCACTGTATCAATATTTGCAGGCCTGTCTCGATATAAGCCTGAAATGTAATATTCAAAATGCAGATCAACCAGCAGTGCAGATTGTCTGTATAAACAGGCTAATGACACTATGAGAAAAAACATTTGTCTTAAAAAATCAATCTAAAAGAGAAAAAAAAACGGATATGAATAGTTTTAATGCATGTGCAATTTAATTTCATCCGTTTACGTGTTGATAAATTTATTTTCCAAAAACGATGTCCATTCCTTCATCTAATAGCTGTAACAAAAAAGAAAATACAACCAAAACGAATTCGCCACAAATTATATATTTTTTGTTATGAACCTGTTTTATCCCAACGTGTTCGAAAACATTACTCACCTGGGGTGAACTCGGGAACTGTTGCTTGGAAATCATGCCCCACTCTCATTCCACCACCCTCTATAATAAAAACATTACTGTCACTGTTATCTTCAAGCATAATGATAAAATGTGGAATTTTCATATTTAAACAAAAAGAAGAAATCGTACCCATTATAGATTATCGTTAACACCATGTGCGAAGCAAACGGCGATAACTTACCGTGATCAGAGTCGGCGCTGTCGTCGTCTGAAAAGTCATTTGGACTTGCACAGCGAGAACGCCTTCCATTTCTAATATCTACGACATTTCTGTCCGCCATAACCATTATACTCTCCAAAAAATGAGTTTTCCCGATTACTTTAAGTTTGGTAAACAGTTTTTGTCCTCACACGGAAACTACGGCCGTCGGTAACTCAAGCAGAGTGTAGTGTGATCACACCGTTGTTTTCGATGCCATCCTCAGTTGTGAATATAGTTCCAATTTGAATTCATGTTTGTAACACAAAGATGTTATGACGATGAATTAAATGTTATTTTCGCTCAATACGAACGTATTTTTACTCCCACTAAGCCTGTCTGTAGATGAAATATGGAATTTGATATTCTGAAGCGAATGGTTCCAAAGACGGTGGATATCATTGCGCTTAGCTGGTATGCTACTTCTGCAAACAACGTACACAATTCGGCCAATTACGAGTATCCACCAATGGGTCTCCATACCTCTTGAAATTTATTATCCAAAATTTTGAGATTTAAGTACAATAAATTATCTAACTAAGCACATCTTTCGAGTCTATTAACGGCATAATAAATGTTGGCAGGCATTTTTTTCAAAATTTTCCTTCATTACAAATTATAACTTATTGGTGAATATCCACCATATTCCGTGCAAGGTATCCGTTTAAACACGAAAAACACACTTATTATTGTTGATGCTGATGATATAGTTGTGATGAGACCTTTAAAAATTGTATTAAGAGCTTATCACATTTCAGGGGAACACAAAGAAAATAATATATCGTACTGCGCGTCTGGCTCACCGTACACCTTATTCCCCGTTCAACGTGTCAGAACGGAAAAGCTTTGACTCAACAATATCTGAGCGGTTTCTGGATCGCAGCACTGGCAAGACTTGAATGTGTTACATATCAAAAGGTAATAAAATTGAACGCTTGGAACTAAAAATAATTTGAAACTGTATTTTAAATAACGTTAGGTTATGTGTTATCGAAAGATTACGTAACCGACCAGTATGAAAATGACGTAGGCCTAATTGACGTCAATATGACGTAATGCAGTTTTGCTTAGAAATCCATTGGGATTATCATATGAAATTCATCAAGCCCACAGCTCGATTTCACACGCTATACCGATTTGATACAATATGGATTTATATATTTTTTGTTGAAAATCAATATCACGTCTGACAGGGGCTTCACAAAGGTTAGCTAGCCATCAATGACACTTGATATTCCTAAAACACACGTGTAGATTAAACACCTTGTATCGTAGGTCATTTGTAACTCCGCCCGAGGGAAAACCGTGGCATAGTGAGTGACGGCTTGGTGAAAGGCTTTCACAAGGCAGTCTAAGCTTCCTCTTACTTCCTTTTATCTAACAGGTCATATACATGTATTGTATGTGCTCTAATTTGCGAAACTACCGACATCTTCGTTTTTAACTCCACTTCATAGCCATCACAAATTCAGTGACAATGATCGTATCCTTTTGAGTGCCATGACCTAATTCTTGGCGTCGACATTATAACGTCACACGTTGGATTGCACTTCCTCTGACTGGATAAATGTCTTTAATTAAACACTTAGTTTGAACAGAGACATATATGTGTTATATATGTCTCTGGTTTGAATATTGATTTTGTAATGTTAACGAAATAATGAACATCAATTAAACTATTGGACCTATTATACATCTATATCTAAGTCCGTGATGCCATGAGATTCTGTGTTTTTTAGAATTTCAATCTTATTTGCTATCCAATCGACACCTAGCAGACATAGAATATTTCACATTTGTTTCGATTTTAAAAAAATCAGTAAATGAACATTATATTTTTTTTTATAAAACCCGGGACTTGAGAAAGACTCTATTCTGTTCCACGCTTCGAGGCTCAGCAGAGACAGAAACACATGTTTTAAATTTTCCCCACATTTCTTACTTAAATCACTTTCTATTTTATACCAAAGAAATTTCTAACGAAGACTTAGACCGTTGTTTTGCTGGCGTCCGGGGTAATTCATGGTGCCATCTTATTTTATGTTATGTCTTTTTTGTTGTGTGTGTTTTTTAGAACCAAAATAGCTACCAGAATAATTTTTAAAAGTCTAGGGTATAACTTCTGACCTCAATAAACGTCAAATATCCAGGTTATTTTAATTACTTTGTTTATCATGTTAACTGAAGTTGACTTCAAATGATTGTAGATATGAGTAGTAAAGTTTAGCAGCCGATGCCATTTTCGCGCCAATGAATTTGACGAGTCATTAGGTTGTCACTCAGAATGTGATATTTAAAATGACATCAAAACTAAAATATTTGCTTGATATCAAGAATTTATCAATATGGACCGACAAATAGAAAAACCAACCAATTAAATGAATGGATAAAACAACTATAAGACTACTTTTTAGAGTATCTGACGGATTTGGTTCGGAGAGTATATGTTCACTTCCGGCTAAATGGCGGTGAACTGCCGATTGGGAAGGTAAAGTATCTAGCTGATTTTAATGCAAGTTTACATCCGCGTCTGTTAATATCATTAGATGTCAGCGTTGACAATGTTGTCTAAATATTTTGTCCATTCGCTGCATTTGTTTTATTTATGAAAGGAAGTGCACTGAAATCAAGAATAGGATGCCAAATGTGACGACACCTGAGATGGTGCACTGTAGTGTAGAACATGGTAGAAGTGGATTCGACATTGAACTGACAGTACGGATCCACTGTACAGTAGTCTTAGTAGGATGGAAACTTTTTGTTTACGTAGTATACGATGTATTGTATAGCATAAGACCAGTACGATTTTACAGGTTAACAGCTTGGACACAACCATTCATTTGGGTAATAGTCCAGTCTTTGAGTTTGAGGGATAATTACCATCAACTAGTAATCAATTAATTAATCAAATGCAGGGTCATTTGATAGAGAAACACAAAAAGTTCTTTTAAGCATTTGCAACAAAATGTGGCATATTTTTGACATGGCCCATTTACTAATGCAGCATTTCACATTTTTACATAAGAAGTGAATTCATTTATCTTGCTTTTTGTAAAAAGTCACCTCCATTGCTAATAGTGTGGCTAAAAATAGAACAGGGGTAAATTCATGCTCACCGGTGACATTTGCACTAAATGTGCCCAATAGCTAGATACTGCAGTCAATGGAGAAAAGATTAGTGATATAAATTGTCATTTTAGCACAAAGACAACAGAAATGAATATTTTTGTGCAATTAAATTCATTTTCAAATTAACAGTTAGGTCAAGTGTTTATGTTTCAACTGACAAAGCAGAAGCAACCCCTCCAATGCTGGGCTGTTACCATAAGAAGGATTGTGGCCAACCTGGTTTATAAACATATTACAGGTGCACTAACAGCATTTTTCTGTGCTAAAAATATGTAATCCACAATGAATGTGAATTGTGTGGTGGAAGCAAGTGAGGTATGAGGTATTTTAATAATGAATTAAGGAATTCTTATGCCTACCATCAGAATATTCGGGTAAAGGAATGAATTTAACCCCCAAAAATGGTGACCTATAACAATCTCACTCAATTTATCATCCATTTTATCAATGTGCACATCATAATGGCGAATAGGTATGGCTCAGTTGTTTCGTTTACCATATATATATAGTCAGATGTGGCTATGTAGCCAAATATGCCAATTAAGCCAGATTTGCCAGTGCTCTATTACACGTCTAATGGAAAGTATGATCAAGTTTATGGAATTATTAAATGACGATGAGGGACTTATCTCCCTTATGGTAGATCTTGCATATTTCTTCAAATTTTTTACACAAAACAGTTGTCTGCATGGAATTTAAAATCACCCGTTGCAAGAAATGGAAGGGGTGAACCAGAAGGGTTACACCATGTGATCGACCAATACAAACCTGTGCAAGGAGTAACCTTATTGACCTAAAGATGTCAGTCTAGTTTTTTCCTAGTGTAGTGATGGAAGCAAAATATACAATATAGTTTACTTTGAATAGTAATTATTGCAACATTACATTGTGACATATTATGTATTTTATGTTAGTGACTGTTGTTTAAGTAATCCTGCTAAATACTAACCACAATATACCGCTTGGATAAAGAGGACTTCTTGTAACTTGATTGATTGAGCGTCGGACTAGGAAGTCATTGGTCAAGGGTTTGATTATGATGACACAATCAGCACCATTTGTGAATTTATCTAGCTAAATTTTTGAAGAATTTATGCAAATTAGATATCACAATTTCAAATTTGTTTTTGTGTGTCAGAGTGAGATGAACAATTTCCATAGGAATGTAAGTAAATCCTTATGTAAATCTAACAAAATTCTCACTAACTTGTCCGGAAAATATCTCTTTAACTTTAAAAGAATATCCTTTACAAAAGAAGCATGGCTTCCCCAATCTGCAGAGGATGAAACTTTGTCACATCACAGTTGGATTACGACTGTTTACAATGACCAAGTGTTCGTTTACTCTACCAGTGTTTGTTCTAGAAACTTGAAAACTATAACATGTCAGACTCCCTCAAATGTTTTCTTTCTTCTTTTTATCATTGCTGATCTGACCATTTAATTCTTAAACATATGATACTTGTATCATTGGTAAAAATGATGATAACTTTACTAAGTATAGTATACTACAGAATTAAAACAATAGGAGTTACAGATTTAGTTCAAAGGATCAGATTTTATGAACCAGTTTATATTCATTACTGACCATAAAGGTATTTTTGCTTCAGGTTTATGCAACTGGTAGTATCTGAAGTACAACATGTGGCACGAGGCACGAAAACAGGAGAAGAAGATTCGGGGGCTGATGGTAGATTACAAGAAAAGAGCAGAAAGAAGAAGAGAATTTTATGAAAAAATTGTAAGACATGATTTGAAATGTTATGATCTCTCAAGTGGACCTGGCCCATTTATCACATGCAGAGTGCATTTGAAAGTTAGAGAGTATTGAAAATTTATGTCAGCGGTCCAAAATTAGATTTTATTCATAACAGTCTATCTAAAGTGTCTAATTAGGTGTAAATAGTTTTTTTAGTTGACAAACTAAGGAAATTCCCTAGCAAGGTTTCTGAGAATGGGTATTAAACACAGTATTTCAATTAATTACAAAACACTGTTCATGACACAGTAGACAAAACAATCAGTTTGAGGAGGATATATCATTTTTTAATAAAAACAATATTTTTGAAAATTTGGTAAATACAGTATTTATTTTTGATTGGTGATTGTAAGGGAGATAACTGAAATTCATCTGACTTATTAGCCAATTTAATATTTGACTTTTTTCATTTGATTTACTGATCTTTAAACTTGTTATCGTTTTTCGAATAATATTCTTTGCTTGTACCATTTAATGTACTAGATTTAGACTAACATATTTCTCTGTATTTTTCTTTCTGATGATCCAATTGAAGTATTTTTTTTGTTGTAGATAAACAAAATAAGATTTAATGTGTACCTGGTAATCAAAAGTTTATTTGCATGTGCATCCCTGTTCATATAAATCCACATTCATTGTTAGATCTCTGAAGTCCATGTTTGATAAATAGGATTGTACATAATTCAAACATATGTGATACCTATGGAGTAATATTGTAAATAGAAAATTTCTTGGTAACATTGAAGGCCTGTTGTCATGAACATTGGAAGCCTACTGTTGTTATAATTATGACTAGTTCAGTTTTCATATAATTATATATCTTTTATCTTGTTTCACAGTTATACAGAATTATTACACATTAATTTATTTTCTTTTAGAAATTAGATCCTACCCAGTTTCTGAGAATCTACGGAAGGCCATGCAAGATAAACCTGGACCAGGCGGTGGCTATAGCAGCAGAATCCCCACAGAGCATGTGAGTATCAGTAAGAATCCCCACAGAGCATGTGAGTATTTGTGAGAATCCCCACAGATCATGTGAGTATCTGTCAGAATCCCCACAGATCATGTGAGTATCTGTCAGAATCCCCACACAGCATATGTGTATCTGTTAGAATCCCCACATGTATCTGTCCAAGAGTTCAGACAGCACATGTCATTATGTTCAGATTTATTTACATGTATATCAAAGGTAGTCTCTGTTGTCAGAATAAACCAAATAATTGCAATGTATGCCTTAGATGCATGTGTTTGGTTTTTTAGATGACATATTCTAATACCCTTCATCCGGCATGGTGTATCTGTAAACAATTTAACACTTTCAACTTTCAACTTTCAAAAACCCTGATCCAAATTCAGTGAAATTTTTCAGAAGCTTTCCCTGGCCTAAAATGAAGGAAATAATACAGTCCCCAACCCCAAGGGGCCAAAGGGGTCAAATTGACTCAGATTTTAAAAATCTTCTTTTCAAGACCAAGATATGGTAGAATCAAATACTTTTCATGAATGTAAGCATCTTAAGGACTGTACTGTAATTTTCATAGAAAAATAGTATTTTGAGCACAACGTTGGTTATTTTCCACTGTATAAGAACTTATAAGAATGATCAGTACATGATGACAGTTTCGATGGTATGCATATATTGAAACTGTCAATATTCAGTGTCACAATTTCTGTCCCATATCATACACCATTGCTCTCTTAGAAATCTGCCTTTTTAATGTCTCATTTTTAAGCCACATAAAAAACCGAAAACTTTTATATTTGCATAGAAATTGAAATTAATATTACCTTTCAAGTATATAGATGTGCATTCCTGAAGTTGGCAGGTCATTCTCGGTGTTCAGAACTGAGAAGACCCAGTTGATAAGTTCTTTGTAGGTACAACTGGAAGGGATTTATGATTGTCATTAATACAGGAGAGATATTAGCTTTGTACTGTCATTGTGTTGACCTACAACTGCTTGTTCAGTTTTGCAAACTGAAATGGGATCTTGTGCTCAAATTTTACAATTTTAGTATTTGGCTAAGGTTGCAACCTTGATATAGTCGCAGGTCAGTGTGATCTTAACTTGGGTCGACATGTGCCAGAATATATGAACGCAAAAACAACATAATTTTTTAAGAGTGTTAATGCATAACTTAAAATGAAAATCACGATAAGTAAATGACTAACAATTTTGATATATTTACCACTAATTAAGTGTTTAACAAGTCAAATTTCTGAAGGGAAAAAATGAAGACAAGCTCTATGTGAAAAAAATCAATGATAAAATGTTCACTTCTATTTAGATAAAAAACATTACCAAGATGTTATTGCTTGTTGTCTGCAGTCTGTAGGTTGGGGTAAAAGTCACAATTTCTCCATTTTCCTGGTCAAATTAACTCTAGTTCCATCTGGCTACACTAGCTTGGTGCTGACTTGAAGAAAAAAAATTGGATACTCGTCTTCTTTAGATTTTTAATGTTTGTCCTTTTGAGTGAATATGAAATACTTTATTGTCTTTCACAGGATGCCATGGCAGGGACAGACAGATAACATGATTGACAGGTTTGATGTACGGGCACATCTGGACTATCTGCCACATTTTAATATAGCAGCACCTCCTACGTATGTATTCCTCCATCAATGGATCTTATACTTATGAGATCCATTATATATGATCCCTTTATATTTCAATTTGGTTGAACTTCATCAAATATTCTGATATTGGGCCTGTAGCATGATGGGATGAACCAAGTTTGTTTATATGAATGACCTTGATCCACTTTCAAGGTGTCAGGGGTAAAATGTGTAAGCAACTTCTTCTCAATAACCAAAAGGCTAAGGGTCTTGTTATTGGGCCCGTAGCTTGCTTTTTCAACAAGCAAATGGCCAGAGTAATGGCATTTAAGTAGTGATGTATAAAGAAAATGTTTTCAAAGTTGCAGAAAATGTCTTTATGAACCAACCAATGTCTTTTGTGTAAGCTGTAGTGTAGTTGAGCAATTTATTTTAGGCCTTTTTGGCCTCTTTCATGTATAGGTCTTTATAGTCAGATGACCCTTAAGGCCCGTAGGCCTCTTGTTAATCAAAGTGGCTGGGGCTTGTAGAATCTAGTGTGACTGGAATATTAACTATCTCAAACATAAAACTAAGCTTTTGGAATGAGTTAAGTACAAGTGTTTAGGATTCTACTGATTGTTTTCACTACTCTGTAAAATCAACCCAACTAATGCAACTATTTTGGCAATGGCAACAGTGAACATCACATAACGTCCCATCATCTTTAACATCACATAATGTCCCATCATCTTTGACTAAATTTCATGGCTTGTAAGTAGGCAATTAAACTTTTGTTTATTTAAATATGACATCATCACATCAGACTTACCTTCAAATGTCTTGTTTATGCTCTGAGTTGTTTACTCTTTTTTAGGCTTACTAGACATGAAGAGGAAGAAGAAAGACTGTGCTGCTATGAAAGATACAGAACACTTGTAGAAAATGAATGTTCTGGCTGTAAGTTGTTCCTTTATGTGGTATCTATAAACGAAAGCTTTCAAACTCTATATTAACAAAATAAATTATTTAATTTAACTTATAGACATTTTAGATTACAATAAGCTAACAACACATGTCAGCATATAATAACATGGCCATTTCTGTTCTTGAATTTGTTTCTGTTGGTCATGTTAAATGCATATATAGATAAGTTATAATATAAACAACATGAGTAGAATCTTTGTGTCCTCAAATTGTCCTCGTTTGTTGGAGAGATATTGTTTAGAGATGTTGTAATTTTTTAACCAACAGTGACAGAGGAACAATGCCTACAGCAGATAGCTATTGATGAACAATTTGGTGCTGCAAACAGAACATTTCAAATTGAAGAAGAAAAAAAAAAGTGAGTAACCGTACTCAAAGATATGTGCAATGTACATACATATTTAAAAGATGCAGGTTGGTGTTGTTTGTACAGAGTTCAAAATATGGTCCCTGTCACTCAGCTGGGTCGCTCTGCTGAAATTGTCTTTTTAGCTGTTCTGTTGTTTTGGCTTCCAACAAAATCTTAGAGGTTGTGATATTTTGTGTCTCAAATTGAAAAACGAGAAGATCCTAAAAGAGGGGAAGTAGCTTATAAGGACATGGTTAATGGATATATGTACATTGTTAGTTCAGTTGACAAAGCCTAATGGATTCTCACACTCTACACTGGGGTTCAATCCCTGTAGGGGCACTCAGCAGGAATGTTTTTCACAGTTCTGTTATACATGTGAAGTTTTTGTTGTTTTTCAAATGGCGAAGTGTAATGACAAAAGCATATGGCCATGGCAGCGCATTTGGTTAAGAGCCTTGACCTACGTAACCTCAAGTTCTGAGGTTCAACACTCCCTACCTGTGGTGGTTTTGTTTGTGGGGAAGCTGAGAAACAGACCAGTATGTGCTGATATTGTGTCCTTTGGCCTAAATTCCCAAGATAGCCTCCTGTATGTTGTTAATTCAGTAGCCACCAGCTACATTGACGTGCCAAAAATATTCTGTCACAATGGTGGTGTGTGAACATTTTTTCTTAAATACGGTCGATATGAAATGTCACTGAGAGGGAAATCGATAATTCAGTTGCAAATTTCGCACTTACCTTAAGTATTTTTTGAGATGTCCTTTTATTCGGATCACGTTTAAAACTCATGTTTGGATCACATTATGTAAGCTGTGGATGTAGGCAGGGGTAATCTTGACCAGATTTATTGTTTTTCCTGATCTTCTCTCAATTTTACAAATGTTAAGCAGGATTGGGGTTTTATTTTGACAAACAACCAAACATTTTCAATTATATTTTGATCTGGAGACTGCAGGCCAACTTCTACAGTTGATTCCATTCAAGGCAACATATTCTTGGGTAAACATCGCATGATGTACGGATGCGTTGTCGGTTTGGGATAAATAATCACATGCAGGACAATGCCTTGCTGTAACTTTCTTCCAAGCCTTATGATATCTCACAGCATCAATATTCTCACAGATAGAAGTCAGTTTCCCCACACCATTCCAGCAAATGCAACAACAAATCATCACTTCACATTTGTTATGCACCAAGCACGGCTAGACGAGATCAGGTCTCCGTTGTCTCATTTTCTCCGTTATACTCTTCGTTTTAGAATACGACCTTTTCCAAGTTGTCTTAAGTTCATTTTCTCTTTTCTTAGCACCACGAAAGTCTCTTTGTAATTTGTTTTACAATTCGTTCTAACTTGCGATACTGTCATTTTACGGAGTATATCCGCTTTGAAATAGCCCAATTTTCATATTTTTCACATACATTGAAAGTTCCCTGGCTTTTTGTCCTGTCTTGGCTTCATAGCATTTGGGAGAAAACAAGAAAGAAGACGACAACAAATATATATTAAGTCACATAAAGACATGTGACTTATTAAGCTTAAAATAGCACCAATTGTCAACAGTGACACAGAAAACGAAGGCCAAGGCCTTTTAATACATGGCCGTGATAGAATGAAAATATGCTTGAGTTGTGACCAAATACGTTTGGCAAGTCATTGTACTACAAGGAGACCACACCTGAAAAAATGGAGTTTCTGCTTGTCTTGTACAGATAATTTGGATATTTAATCACAGATAAGCATATTGTTCTCAGTTTTAGATAAATTCAATGTTTAACTCTATTAAATGTATTTGTCAGATTTCTCAGACAGGTGTACTGATATGTACTCAGATGTAGGTCTATTTTGTCATACTTTTATCACAGATGTGCATTTTGTAGTCATCTTCAGTTACTTGCATCATTTGGATTGAAACAAACAATAACTTTGCCACAGTTATTGATGTAGTTTTTATATAGAGTCTGTGTATCATTGAACAGACTTGCAGGGAAGAAGGCTGCAATTGGCTACACATACACTGACAGTACCCCAGCCCCTGAGGAGCCAGAGGAGGAGGAGAATGACAGTGATGATAGCAGTGACACCGATGTTGAAGTAGCAGATTTAGGTAAGTGATAGATCAGGAAGTAGGTAAGGATTGACAAGGAAGTATCTGACTTAAGTCAGGTCTAATTGATAAGGAAGTAGCTGACTTAAGTCAGGTCTGATTGACAAGGAAGTAGCTGACTTAAGTCAGGCCTGATTGACAAGGAAGTAGCTGACTTAAGTCAGGTCTGATTGACAAGGAAGCAGCTGACTTAAGTCAGGTCTGATTGAGAAGGAAGTAGCTGAATTAAGTCAGGTCTGATTGAGAAGGAAGTAGCTGACTTAAGTCAGGTCTGATTGACAAGGAAGTAGCTGACTTAAGTCAGGTCTAATTTAAGTCAGGTCTGATTGACAAGGAAGTAGCTGACTTAAGTCAGGCCTGATTGACAAGGAAGCAGCTGACTTAAGTCAGGTCTGATTGACAAGGAAGTAGCTGAATTAAGTCAGGTCTGATTGACAAGGAAGCAGCTGACTTAAGTCAGGTCTGATTGACAAGGAAGCAGCTGACTTAAGTCAGGTCTGATTGACAAGGAAGTAGCTGACTTAAGTCAGGTCTGATTGACAAGGAAGCAGCTGACTTAAGTCAGGTCTGATTGACAAGGAAGTAGCTGACTTAAGTCAGGTCTGATTGACAAGGAAGTAGCTGACTTAAGTCAGGTCTGATTGAGAAGGAAGTAGCTGACTTAAGTCAGGTCTGATTGAGAAGGAAGTAGCTGACTTAAGTCAGGTCTGATTAACAATGAATTAGCTGACTTATGTGGGCTAATTGAAAGATGGGTCACTGACTAAGGTCAAGTGTATCTGTTATAGTTGCTGACCAAACTAATCCATTTGTGGAGTTTCTGAACCAAGTTTAGCATCCCATATCCATAACCTTGTGTCTGAGAGTAGCCCTATCCGTATCCTTGTACCTGAGAGTAGCCCTATCCGTATCCTTGTACCTGAGAGTAGCATATCTGTATCCTTGTACCTGAGGGTAGCCCTATCTGTACCCTTGTACCTGAGAGTAGCATACCTGTATCCTTGTGCCTGAGAGTAGCCCTATCCGTATCCTTGTACCTGAGAGTAGCCCTATCTGTACCCTTGTACCTGAGAGTAGCATACCTGTATCCTTGTACCCGAGAGTAGCCCTCTCCGTATCCTTGTTCCTGAGAGTAGCCCTCTCTGTATCCTTGTACCTGAGAGTAGCCCTATCCATATCCTTGTACCCGAGAGTAGCCCTGTCCGTATCCTTGTACCTGAGAGTAGCTCTATCAGTATCCTTGTACCTGAGAATAGCCCTGTCTGTATCCTTGTACCTGAGAGTAGCCCTGTCCGTATCCTTGTATCTGAGAGTAGCCCTATCTGTATCCTTGTGCGCTTTGACGAGTATGATGCCAATGGCCAGGTAAAAGTCTGACACAACAGAAATTAATTGTGAGTATTCAGACATACACCTAAGTCAGTCTACATTAGTCTACAGAATGGCAGTTGTAGAGGCTCTCTCCAGTAAAAACATAAACAATTTACAATCCGTGAAAAATATCAACAGATTTGATCTGTTGATCACAAGGAAAAAGCTAAAGAGATTTCAGAATCAATCCAAGCACACTTCTCAGCAGCAATATGGACGGACCCGTAAAAAACAATACACTTCATTTAAATGCAGATATATTGTATATTGTTTGTTGTGTATACACACATCATACCTGTACTGTATACTATTGTACGCGTCAATAAGATGTTCGTTGAACGGTCTAACAAGCTTGTCCCTGATTATATTGAAATCCAGAAAATTTGAAGTATTTTGTCATTCCCCAAGAATTTCAATATAAAGGGATTGGACTGTAAATGTTCCAGAGATTTAAATATTGGCTATTTATTTCTGCCTTATATTTCTATGATTAATGATGAAACATTTATACAGTTTACATTTATCCTATCAACTGTTTGGAGAATCTGAGTTCACTTCTGTAACAGGGTCATAACGATATTTCTCTATCAAAAGATTTCTACACAGCAATAAGGAATTTGTAATGTATTACCTCTAGGTTCCGGTATGATTGGCTTGTGACAGATACTTGAGGAAATGAAAAAGATGTTGTGTGATAAATCACCCACAGAACCCAGTAAAAACCATCTGTGTCATGATTCCTCATGATAATTCTTGATAGATGTAAGAAAACATTTTGATAAGGATTTGAAAAAAGGCTTGAATTATTTCTGTTCTTGATGTTTAAAGTAACTTTTAGTAAGAATCATATGTATGAGGATATTTTTTGGTTTAAACTGAATAGCTAATAAACTTTCTGATTATTGTTTCCCAATAGATATCACCTTGGATGTTGATACCTTGACCGCAGAACAGTTAACCATGTTGAATCAGTGTGCTCAGCTGTTTGGCATGAAGGAAGAAGACTACACCAGGTAACACTTTCAAGCTCATGTTTCTGGGCCTCATTTTCATCAACAAAAAATAACCTTATAAGTCTTTGTGAGGCAGTTTTCCAGACTGTTCTGGGAGTTAGAACTCACATCAGAAGAATTTTAGAAATATAACCCTCCAGACAAGTTTTTTAGCCAGTCTGATGATCTATATGCCTCAGCCTTACATGGCAGTGGGTATATAGTGTTCTACCTTCCTGTCATTCCAGTCATTCTGTCATCTTGTCTGTCCTCTTTACTTTTTCTTTTGAGTCCTCTTAAACCTTTTTGAAGATTTTAATGAAACTTGGTGCAAAGAAGGAACACATTTAGCAGTGGTATGTAATGCAAAGGGAATGCTGTTCAATTTTTTTACAGGAGTTATGGCCCTTGGACTTGGATTTTTCTACGCAAAATGACTTATCTTCCCAACTCCTCTTAAAGCTTTTGAAGGATTTGAATAAAACTTGTTACAAAGAAAGACTGCAAGGTGTAGATGTCATGAGCCTTTCACAGAATTATTGAATATTTTAAAACCATTCAACAAATTCATCAAGCAACTAATGTTTATGGCTCCAAGTTAGACCTTGCTTTTGCCAATTCAGCCATTCCTGTAGATGAATATCTGCAAACTGCTACTCTGACCACTATGCAGTTGTGATTAAAAATTTAATTTGAGGATCTTTCTTTTGTATGCAGATTAAATTCAATATCCATTTAGAAATAAATATTTGAAAAGCTTTGCCGCCAGGAGGGGGCATTTGTGGCGCAGAGACACATCTAGTCCATGTATTTTCCTAATCACTGGCATCACAGTTGACATGTACCCTTTTTGCAGGCTTTTGTCTAAAGACAAGGAGGAAATTGAGGCATTGCGACAAGCTAAGATGTTGGAAGAAGAAAAAGCACAATTTGCAGTAAGTTTCCTTAATTTAAGATATTTTTGTTTTGAATAGGTAATAGATATGCTTGCAGTTGTGTATTTCATTGCATACAAATGTTTTTTGAGAGGTAGAATCAAATAAGTAATTTAAGAGTGTTCATGACACAATATTTTGATATCCTCAGAAAACAAAGGAAGAAGTGATATGGGAATATGCCTAGATTTTCATACATCTGTAAGTTGGAAATCTAATCCTTAGAATTTACTGGTATAAAAAGCCAAATAACATAATTGAACAAAAATAGGGACCTTTCTTGGTAGATATTTTATGCAGCAATATAAATCAACATGCAGCTATTCCTTGACACTTGTGGATGAGCAGTGTGTTGGAAGTCCTGTGTTTATTGTATGCACCCATCTCATATCAGTGTTTTATTTTGATTAGGGTCGAAAATCAAGGAGAGAGAGGCGGGCTTACAAGGAGAAGCGATTAGCAGGCCGTAAACTGAGTCCACCAAGGTAAATAAGAATAGTATGGTATTAAAACGATAATTGTGGAAAGAAATCATCTTTTCACATGCATAGCTCACACACATTGAAAAATCTCTTCTTTATTCACATGCTGATGGCAGTTGTATCTGATTTCCTCTTTTTCCTCTGACTTCCCCTTTTTCAGGGGACAATTTTTCTTGGAAAAAAAAAACATCATAAAGGACAATTCGTCACCAGAGTGTTAGCCCATTTTTCATTGTACATGAATTCTGCATTTCTTTTTACTGTGTAACTTACTATCGCTAAATTTTGCACACACATGAAAACTTAAGAATGTCATGCAAATATTTCTTTGGACAATCTGTACTGAAACTTGGGATGCTTTTGTGTAAGCATTTGAAATGTTTTGACCAGTTGAATCTGCAAGAAAAATGCCAGGTACAGATCAGTACCATGCTAGACTATAGAAAATTTGACACATGCAGTTTGAGGGTTCCAGTCATTCCTGTCCTAAACCAACTTGATTAATATCATTAGATATCAGAATTTCAGCATAAAAAGTAGGGAAGGGCACTCACATATTGTGCTATAAAGTATAAGTTAAACGTATAGTATCTTAATTTTAAATACATTGATTTATGCTTGACAAGAAATTCTGAAACCTCATTTTGAGCTATACGTATATTAGGTCCATGTGCGTTCGTGTATAGTGGAGTAATTCCTGACCACCTGCACCATTTCAACCGGGTTAAGCAAATTCAGCCTTGGTCTAATGTCCCACTACATACAGAGTTATGGCCCTTTGTCTCTTTACATTAAAGATTAGATGAACAGACTTGGCGGTATAGAGGGACAGACTTAGGTTTGGCTGTTAGAAATTACTGTTGTATGATCCTTCAGATGTCCATCTGTTCCTAATGAACAAGTTTCACACCTTATCGTACTAAGGAGCACATCAGTCTAGGCTTAAGGGTCAAAGGTCATATTGGACTTACGATGCAAATTTGAAATGAAATCAGGAGCATTTACATCTTAAAGATTTATTTTAGTAAAATGTTATGCCAGGACTGATTAGTAGCTTTGCTTTTGATTACAGAAGACTGGCAAAAGAATCTAGGATATCAAAGTATTTTTTGAAAAACCAGGTCATTATTCATGAAACCATTATCATACTCAAACATGGATTCTGGTTTCAAGAAAAAATTTCTTGTTTTGGTGATTAAGTCTTATAAATATATTTCTTTGATGATAATTAGGAACGTTGGAGACACCTGAAACCAAATACCAATAACACTATCTAGATTTCTTGCTTTAGCATAGCACCGATTGTTAATTCATCTGTTGTTATGTTTCAGTTATGCTGCGCGAGACAGCCCAAAATACGAGCCATACAGGAAAAGGTAAAACTTCAATGTTTATGGGAAACCTTTGTTTATCTTTGCATTGAAAAGCAAAAACGGAAAATTAAAATGTATATTCTGACATTTGCATGATTTTTTTTTTTTTAATATAGTTTAAGTTAATAAGTAAACATTATGAGTAGTTTGATGACATTACAAAATGGATCTGGAAAGTCATAGGTCAAATGTCAAGATGACATATAATTGTACCTGATATCCAGCAAAAGGTACACCATTCACATAAACAAAGAATTAAGGTTTTGTTTGCAGATCAGGTCTGTTGCTTGAAGTGATGTTTACATATCGCTTGTTATAAGGCGATACCCAATTCTTCCGTCTTTATTTGTTACCATGCAACAACAGCTATATTTTCATGATGGACTTTATTTGTACTATCGTAGTTTTGAGCCTTTTGGAATTATTTTTTTTATTAGAATTGATTTCTATTACATGTAATACATGTATAAATATTACACTTAAGATAACAGAGATGTTCCAAGCGCTTTTGCCTCTTGTGAAGCTCTTCAAAATTTATGTACATAATTGGTAACTGCTGGTTTTCTAGGTCATCGTCATCATCAAAGTCTAGATCCCGTTCCCGCTCCAAATCACCCGAGACTGGAGGGAAGGTCATGTTCATCACAAGTTTTGGTGCAGAAAGTGAGGAAGAAGGCACCATGCACGGACCAGCTCTTCCACCTAAACACAGCGTCGAGAACAACGGAAAACCTGAGGCTAAAAAGTCACCACCATGGTCTGTGTCTATATAGTGAAGCTTTGTTCTCTACCCAGGACTGGCTTACCTCAAATACAACTAGACCTTGAATTCTTATTCTGTTGTCTCATTCATGGGTTGTAGGAGGGAAAGATAACATTAAATAGTAGAATTTTATTGACCAGGAAGTGAGATCTTGAGATAATTTGATTCATAATGTTTTGTAAGGACTTCGAATTTTAGTTTTGTTGTCTTGTTTATTATGTATAAGATTTTTTTTTTCATATTTATTTTAGTGAAAAGAGATCTGCAAAAAAAAATTCAAAAAAGGAACGAAATAGGAGGTCAAGCTCCAAATCATCTCGATCAAGATCACCACAAAGAAATGACAGGCGTAGTTCAAGGACTCCAAGAAAGAGATCACGTTCGAGGTCAAGAGACAGAGATCGTGACAGAGATCGAGACAGAGATCGAGGTCGGGGTGGCTATCAAGGCAGGGACAGATACGGACCACCACCCCGATCTGGCTGGCGTGGCAGAGATAACGACAATAGAGATTATAGGGATACTCGAGACTACAGGGATAGTCGAGGTTATCGGGATAGCCGAGACTATAGGGATAGTCGGGATGGACGTGATTTTAGGGATCGTGATTATAGAGACAATCCTGAACACAGAGATCGGGATGTTCGTGACAATAGAGACAGAGATGGACGGGATTATAGGAATCTTAGGGATAACCGGGATCGTGACAGTCGCGATTGCCGTGATTATAGGGAAAATCGTGACAGCCATGACAACAGGAATAGAAGGTATTCATCGCCGATTAAAAGTTCTTCATCAAAACGGAGAAGGTCCAGCAGTAGCTCCTCATCAAAATCAAGGACAAGAAAGTCTAGATCAAGGTCAAAGTCTAGGTCAAGGTCACCAAAATCTAGGTCATTGTCACGATCCAGGAGGTCCACATCAAGACATTCATCACGTTCATCAAGTTCATCCTCCTTCTCCAGCAGATCATCTTCATCAAGGTCAAGGTCATCAAAATCAAGGTTTGATAGCAATATTTCTGAAGCTTTAACAAATTTCTGATCTGTAGGACAGCTGTTCTTTGGTTTGAGTTTAAAAGACAAAACCTCCAAAGCAAATTTATACCATCCAAATATGATCCTCTTGTGGCTTCTCTAGTTTTCTGTCATGGACATTGATTAATGTTCAGGAAGGTGTTAAGTGTAAGGACCCTAAATATTTAAGAAGGGTTTGAGTTTGAAAAGATTTCAGCAACCCTAAGAGTGAAACATCCTGTAATTAATATATTAAGGTAAATTTCCACAATAAACATGCAAAAATAATTTCAAATAATGATAACTTTAAATTGTTACTAGGTCAAAATCACCTTCACCAGTACAGAGCAAAGAAGAACCAGTGATTAAGCGATACCGCAGGCAAAGTCTGTCGTCCAAATCAAGTGACAGTGAATCGGAGGAGGAAAAGGAAAGCAAAACTAATAAACCATCCAGGTAGGTATCGACTTTAATTGGTTTATTTTTTCATAGTTTATCCATCCATTTAACATGTCTTCAGTGTCCATGTACCCTTGTCACTGAGTTTTGGTGGTGCATAATATTTTGGTTATAGCACTGCATATGAATCAAATGAGTGTGAGCTTGCTGCATATCTTACTTTTCCTCACTGAACAAACACGCTTCATACCATCACTAAAATAACTGAAACTATTTTGATGTCATAAAATTTTATATATGCCTTCACATAATGCAGGATAAGGAACAAGAACAATGTTGATTAACAGTGCTTTGTATCTAGACTTCTGTGTCATCATGCACCAAATTATAATTAAATAAACCCTGTAAAATATATAGTGAAGTTTAAATGTCTGGGTTCAGCAGCTAATATCAATACTAGTGGTAATCTCTTGACTTAGAACTTTAAACTGTTTCAGGTTACTGTTTATTTTGCACAAATTTAACTGATTTAAAGGAAAAATGTATTTTTTCAAAATTGTTGATAAGTCATATTCTATAAAAGTGTTTGATTGTTTTGCATGTGATGGATTTTATCTTGCATTTAAAGTTTTAAATATCTACATTATGGGCATGTTAAGCCTTTCATTAATACGAATACTTTGATTGGTAATTATTACAAAAAAGAAATGAGAGAAAAAAATGGAAAATTGGGATCATTATACATTTACATGTTTAAACTCCTCCTTTGGAGAGAGGCTATTGACTGCACCTTAGAAAAAAATCATTGCATTTGTTTTTATGGACATATTTACAGTGATGTTTGTGGAATGTTGTAACAGGCAATATGTATTCCATTACAGACCCCCGGGTGTAGCTGTGGTTGGTAAACTGACACCTCAAGCTCCTCAAGTCAGTAAGAATTGCTTGCCTTGTCCATGGTTCGTCAGTGTAATGCTGACATTAATTTCCACTCCGATACGAAAACAACACTTTATCATACAGATATTTTATACTGATTTTCAGGATTAACTATCTTTCAGTATTATTTCCTAGTTTCCTGTTCACATTTTTTAAATAACATTTTACAAATTTAAAGAAGAAAGTGATATATTTATATTCATTTCAAGTTCTTAATGTATTATAGCAGGAAAATCGATTTTTGTGATAATCTATTGTATTTCATCTTATAATTGTCCGAGGATGGTGTATTTAAATCTGAGCTGTCTATCCTGTAAATCAGTATCAAATATCGTTTTCCTGTAAGACTGTATCTTAGATTTCATTATTTAAGTTACTACTGGTTAGAGACAGAACTCCTGTACAGCAACTTCATTGCTATTCTTAAAGAATACAGGAAGTAATATTAACTGTATGATAGTTATGTAATATTTAAATTCAAAATAATTCCCATTTTCTACATCCCTTGTTACACAACTGAATGATATTTGAACATTATGTGATATTTAAATTTAAAACAATTCCCATTTTCTACATCCCTTGTTACACATTTGAATGATATTTGAACATTATGTGATATTTAAATTTAAAACAATTCCCATTTTCTACATCCCTTGTTACACATATGAATGATATTTGAACATTATGTGATATTTAAATTTAAAACAATTCCCATTTTCTACATCCCTTGTTACACATTTGAATGATATTTGAACATTATGTGATATTTAAATTTAAAACAATTCCCATTTTCTACATCCCATGTAGCAGTGGTAGGTCAGGGTATAATCTAACCAGCATTTTATCACCCGTAGGTCGGGTCTGTGGGGAAATATCTTCATTATGGTTACTTGGGTTTGTAAATTTCTCATTAGAACAGTTTCCCTCTGCATTATACCATAGGTTGATGATGTTATATTGTCTGTGCTCAATTTGAAGTAGTTTAATTTCAGGAAGCTGACATCTGAGACAATATCAATAGATTTTGTTTGAGTTTTGTGTCAAAATTATGAAAATCCATAAGAATTACCTACTGGAATAATTTGATATACATGAATATTGCAATTTCTTTTTCATTGTGGGAGACTTTCTTACTTTTGCCAAGTTTATGTGTTGCTGTTTCAACTAAGTAGAGAGATTAATAAGGAGACCAATGGCATTAATGTTCTGTCTTGGTGACAGTTATAACAACTGATTGAAATTTAACCCAGTAATGTACAGCTGGTGACAGTTATAACAAGTGATAGAAAAGTAACCCAGTAATGTACAGCTGGTGACAGTTATAACCTGTGATGGAAAAGTAACCCAGTAATGTACAGCTGGTGACAGTTATAACAAGTGATAGAAAAGTAACCCAGTAATGTACAGCTGGTGACAGTTATAACCTGTGATAGAAAAGTAACCCAGTGTTGTACAGCTGGTGACAGTTATAACCTGTGATAGAAAAGTAACCCAGTAATGTACAGCTGGTGACAGTTATAACCAGTGATAGAAAAGAGACCCAGTAATGTACAGCTGGTGACAGTTATAACCATTTAGAGAAAAAATGGTGTCTGGTGTCTGATACAGTAACTTGGAGGAGTATGATCCCCGGTCACTACAGACATAGGGGTCTGATGTCTGATACAGTAACTAGGGGGGCGTGTGATCACCTGTCACTACTGAAGTAGGGGTCTGGTGTCTGATACAGTAACTAGGGGGAGTGTGTGATCACCTGTCACTACTGAAGTAGGGGTCTGGTGTCTGGTACAGTAACTAGGGGGGAAGTGTGATCACCTGTCACTACTGACGTAGGGGTCTGGTGTCTGATACAGTAACTAGGGGGACATGTGATCATCTGTCACCACTGACGTAGGGGTCTGGTGTCTGATACAGTAACTAGGGGGAGTGTGTGATCACCTGTCACTAGACATAGGGGTCTGGTGTCTGGTACAGTAACTAGGGGGACATGTGATCACCTGTCACTACTGACGTAGGGGTCTGGTGTCTGATACATTAAGTAGGGGGATGTGTGGTCACCTGTCACTAGACGTAGGGGTCTGGTGTCTGGTACAGTAACTAGGGGGACATGTGATCACCTGTCACTACTGAAGTAGGGGTCTGGTGTCTGATACATTAAGTAGGGGGAGTGTGTGATCACCTGTCACTACTGAAGTAGGGGTCTGGTGTCTGATACATTAAGTAGGGGGAGTGTGTGATCACCTGTCACTACTGAAGTAGGGGTCTGGTGTCTGATACATTAAGTAGGGGGAGTGTGTGATCACCTGTCACTACTGAAGTAGGGGTCTGGTGTCTGATACATTAAGTAGGGGGACACGTGGTCACCTGTTACTTGACGTAGGGGTCTGGTGTCTGATACATTAAGTAGGGGGACATGTGGTCACCTATCACTAGACGTAGGGGTCTGGTGTCTGATACATTAAGTAGGGGGACATGTGATCACCTGTCACTAGACGTAGGGGTCTGGTGTCTGGTACAGTAACTAGGGGGACATGTGATCACCTGTCACTAGACGTAGGGGTCTGGTGTCTGGTACAGTAACTAGGGGGACATGTGATCACCTGTCACTACTGAAGTAGGGGTCTGGTGTCTGATACATTAAGTAGGGGGACACGTGGTCACCTGTTACTAGACGTAGGGGTCTGGTGTCTGATACATTAAGTAGGGGGACATGTGGTCACCTATCACTAGACGTAGGGGTCTGGTGTCTGATACATTAAGTAGGGGGACATGTGATCACCTGTCACTAGACGTAGGGGTCTGGTGTCTGGTACAGTAACTAGGGGGACATGTGATCACCTGTCACTAGACGTAGGGGTCTGGTGTCTGGTACAGTAACTAGGGGGACATGTGATCACCTGTCACTACTGAAGTAGGGGTCTGGTGTCTGATACATTAAGTAGGGGGACATGTGATCACAGATGATTGTTTTCTTACTTTAGTTATCAGCCCGTGAGAAACTGAAGAAAAAAATGCAGGCAGCTTTAAATCGACAATGTGAGTATGAAATGTTAAAAAGGAATCACACTTTGATGAAGTATCTGTTTCCTTTCATAAAGTTATTGTGTGGTTTGATAAAATTGTGATGAAAGAAATCAATATATATGTTGATACTTGATTAATTTTTTATAAAGAAAAATTTAGAACAGATTATTTCTGTGACATCTTAATTACACAGGTTTATATGATATTCTTATATATTATAAATTTTTTGTACCAATTATTTGCAATACGTTCATAGAATGAAAATGCGAAACATTGTGAATGTAGATCCCTACTGGTAAAACTAGGGGAGGAGGGAGGGGGCTCTAGTTTTTCTCTTTCCTCTCTCCATCCATCCATCCATCCATCCATCCATCCATCCATCCATCGACCCTTTCCTCCCTCCATCCCTGAAAGTTTGTCAGCCCTCTAGCAAACTCATTCCTTGAGGGATTCTCATTAAACTTGAAATTGAAATAGCTAGGACAAGTTTAAGTTTTTGGGTCAAGGTCATGGTCACTGATACTATTTAAATCAGAAGCAGGTTCTACCAGCTTCATTTCTTGAGGGATTTTCATCAAACTTCACACGCTTGCTTTTATCTTTGTCAAGCCAAGTTTGAGTTTCAGGGTAGAGTTTTTGTAGAAAACACAAAAAGTTCTTGTAATAATATAATTCCTATTGAGAATGTTGTTGGTTGATAAAACTTGTGGCTGGTATTTACAGACAAAGCAGACAAGAAAGCAGAGGTTCAGAGATTGGAAAAGGTGGAACGTGAACGAGTGGTATGTACTGATAATCTGTATTTAAAATTTAAAGACAAATGGCTGTACAATTCGTACTTCACAAATCGGTCAACTTCATACAAAATCATCTTAAATGTGATAACATTCAGCTCACCTAGTCTTTCAACCTGTTTTCTAAAATTGCTGCTACATGTACTCATTAAAAACTTTGAGAATTTTGACCCAAATTTGTTTGGAAGCCACCGAAGGGAAAGGGAAGTAAATTTTGTATTAATGGAGCAAATCCTTCAAAATCCTACACCTCTTGTAGAAATTATTGGAATTTGCCCAGATTTGGTTATTTATATATATATATATTGTCCTTGGACAAAGAGAATTCAGTTATGTATAAATAGTGGGTCTCGGCCCCCTGGGGAGGGAGGGACAGGGCCCAATATTGGAAATGGAGCAAATTCATTAAAATTATTCTCATACTGTAGAAATATCAGGATTCTGGTCTTAAATATACATGGGTGAAATTGAATCAATTTTGCATAAATTTGAGTCTTAGAGATGGGAAATTCGGGGAGAAATAGTAAAAACAGAGGTGAGTTTATTTAGCATTTTGGGGAAAGGGGAAACAGAATTCTATAAATGATGCGTCTGGGCCCCAATGCCCCCCCAGAGAATGTCCAAATAGTGGAAATAAGCAAATTCTTTGAAATGCTTTTTGTAGGTATGGCAGGATTTTGTCCAAATTTGATCTGAAGTATCCTTTATGGAAGGATAACCAACACTGATTCTCTACAGGTGTGATATTATGTACTTTATTTTGTTAAAAATAGTTGTAATTGATGGGCAATGGGGGTTTTATTGGGGTTTTTTATGCTCTTTTAAATTTGAACTCTGAATGAACTGTATTTCTCAGGACAGAGAAGAAGAACTACGCCTTCGAGCTTTGGAGATGCGACGAAAAGAGAGAGAACGTAGACACCGGGAGCGAGAAAAAGACCAAAGTAGCGGTGATGAGAAACTGCAACATTCACCAGTGTCAAGGAAATATGATTGTGGCAGCAGAAGCCCATCACCTAACCCCGTCAGTAGACATAGGAAACGCAGGTATTGATATTAAATTGGAATGAAAATTTTAATTTATTTAAATAATTTATTGTTAATTGACATAATGTTAAAGGCAGACCATATGAATGCTTGTATTAGTCTGCAGAGTTATAGGCTATAGCTGACTTTGAATGAGTTATTTCCCTTTGTATGTATGTTGGCAGAATATCCACATATGATATGTAAGATATCAAATTCAAAGACAATAACTTGAAAATCATTTATGAGGAAGTAAGATATGTTTTTTATTGATTGAAATAATTATTAAATAATCAACTGTACTCCATCAATTTGAAATACTGTAATTGTTTCTCCGTTTTATTTTATACAGGTCAAGATCAAGGTCACGATCACCTCCACACCGTAGTAGTAAACTTGTGTCCTACTGAATGGAAAACTGACTTTAAATGTCAAGGGTTATTTGTAAATTTATCCACTGTAAACATTGAGTCTTTCACATTTACACTGGCGGCTTTTTAAGACCCAAATACCTACATAATAATCGAGAATTTCCTTCTTGCTAGGTGTGACTAGGGACTGAGCATTGACAGTAAACATCTAGGCCTTTCATACTCGTACTGGTGATGATTCTGACCCTATTTCCAAACATTTAGGCCTTTCATTCTGGTAATTGTGATGATTCTGGACCAAAGTACCAAACATGTAGGCCTTTCATAATATGCTGGTGATTATTCAGGACCCATGTACCAAAAATCTAGGCCTTACATATGTGTGCTGGACCTAATTTGGGGCTGGAGTACCAACATTTTGCGTACAGCAAACATTCTGTCATACTTTTTGGGTGGTAGAACTGAGGAGTTATCAAATCACCCTGATCATGTGATACACTTATTATATTTGTGAAGGATGTTGTTAATCTTGCGGTACAGTGACAACAATTTGATGTTTGGACCTTACATGGTAAAATCAGGAATTTCTGACAACGCAGGACATGGTTGAAACATTTGGAAAGTGATGCAGTTACTACCAATAAAGTGATAGTTAATGAACAAACATGCTGTTCACCATTAACAAAGTACGATCTGATTCCTACTGATTTCCATGTCCTAGTGATTATCAGTATTTTGTAAAATGATTATGTTTTCCTGTTTAGAATAAACTACCATTACCAAAGCATGATCCAATTCCTACTGATTTCCATATCTAAGTGATTATCAGTATTTTGTAAAATGATTATGTTTTCCTGTTTAGAATAAATTCAAATTACCATTACCAAGTATGAACTGATTTTACTGATTTCCATATCCTAGTGATTATCAGTATTTTTGAAATATGATTATGCTTTCCTGTTTAGAATAAATTATGAAATAATTTCATACATTGGACAGTTAATGTAGTGGTAATTTTAGTATGATTATTTTAAATCTGTATAGAAGTTACTGAATTTCTACTGCTACAGAAAATGTGACACTAGTGTACTGGAGCTTCAATATCTAATCAGTGTATGTTGTTAAATAATGTTTTAGCCAAAATGAATTACATGGTAAATGTGACAGATGAATTAAGAATTATTTGTTACACTTCCAAGAAGAACAATTCTTATTATTGGCTCAGGTCACTTTGGTGTTGGGACTGTCTATTTTAGTCTTTGTTAGGTCATCAGTAAATAAAGATTAAAAATCATACAGTTAATTGATTAGAGGTAATATGATTATTTATTAGAGGTCAAAGGTCATGCAATTTATTGATTTCATTCATGAATTGGTCAAAGGTCACACAATTTATGTTTTAAGATTTTTTTATTATGTTTGTTTTGCCTGTTATGTACTTAAGTATGCTTGTTAGATGATTTCCCACTTAGAAGTGTTTAGTGCCATGCATGTGTTTTCAATGCTCTGAATGAATTTTGCTGATTTACTGGTGAATTGGTAAATGACCTAATTAGCTCCCATCCACAGTATGTGTTCCTATGAATAAAATAAGGATTCCTTCATTGATATTGTTCCAATTAAATTGGTCATGCAACAATTGGCAAATCTTTTATATTAAAAAAAGCACCCTCATTTTTGCATTTTTTCCCCCAAGTGTGGAGTGCACTGGGTTGTTTTTTCTCAATAACAATAAGCCCTAGGTTTCTTTGTTGTTCTTTAAGAGATGATATGTAGAGATACAGCTTTTTGTGCTACGGGTGACTACCCGTTAATTCTTTATTTCGGAATTACGTAATTTATAATGGAAAAACAATTTATACTGGAATTGAATTTAATGTCTTGTTTTATTTCGCTATGTATAAATGTGTATGAAATAAAATACATTTGGAAATTTTACGTCAAGATTTTGGGTCATAATATATAAATCAATGTTTCTGATGTGAGTACATCTGTTTTATTAGCTCACATCGCACAAAGTGCCAGTGAGTATATAGTAAAGTTCTGAAGTTCAAGAAATTGTCAATTTATTTTACTTGTTGGTACCTATAATAAATTGCAACAAGTTTCCTAATTTAAAATTATCTTGACCTAAAGTCACAGGGATGAAACATGTATGTAAAGACTACCTTGAGAATCTTCTTACCATGTTTCAGAAGACCCAGGGTACTGACATTAGGCTAGTAGGTACCATGGATGGAGCCCCATAGACCATAACCTAATTTCCCTATAAATTTCCTCATATAAATTACCTGAACCTGTTGTCATATTGGTCAAATATGTTAAAACATCTAGAATCTTATGAAGTGTTGTAAGAAAGACTGATATTTGGTCAGAAGGTAACTAAGATATAGTGCATTGAAATTTCCTCATGTAAATCACCTACTTTATGGTCAAAGGGATTAAAATATACAAAAAAAAAATGTTTAGAATCAACTCAAATTTAAGAAGACTTGGGGTTTTGATAAAATAAACTGATGAAGTACTTCATGTTTTCCTTATGTAGATGGCCTTAAGATTTATAAGGGTCAGAGCTGCTAAAATCAATCGCCTTTTCTTGAACCAGAGTATCATGAACACTGGCACTTTATGTCATGTACATTGGTGCCTAGAACAGTGAATATAGAACATGATTGTACTGACATTGCTGCTTTGATATCCATTTGAGCAATACAGGACCTCTTTTATTTTTAAACACAGAAATGAATATTTCACCACATTTTGGAACTTTACATGGAAATCACTTCTCGTATATCATTTGTTTGAATTCCGTGATGAACCCAGGTTCTTCATGGCTTCTTTTGGCACAGTGTTTGGAGACTGAATTTTAACAAATGCATAAAAAAACTTCAGTCCTGACCTAGAACTATTATTTCAGTCACCACTGAAGAATTTCTAATTTCTGATGATGCAGTTTTCTGAGATTTAACAGATGGAGGTTATAAGTAATTAATCCCACTCAAGGAATTTGGCAGGACAGATTGGATAAGGAAATTTGGTCTGTATAGGGGTTTTGAACAGGGACACTGTCTTTAGGAGGCTTGTCTGTGTAGGGAAACTCTCTGTACGGAGGCTTGTCTGTGTAGGGACACTCTGTACAGAGGCTTGTCTGTGTAGGGACACTCTGTATGGAGGCTTGTCTGTATGGAGGCTTGTCTGTGTAGGGACACTGTATGGAGGCTTGTCTGTGTAGGGACACTGTCTGATCAGTGACACTCTGTAGACACACAGTCTGTACAGGGTCTCTGCCTGTACAGGGACACTACAGAGACACTGTTCATGGACACTGTCTGTATAGGGACATTAGCGATGCTGTCTGTATGGTAGCAACTGTCTGTATGTGCAATGTCCTTGTACAGGGACACTGTCTGTACAGGGACACTGTCTGTACAGAGACACTGGCTGTATAGGGACACTGTCTGTACAGAGACATTGTATAGGGACACTATCTGTACAGGACTCTGTACAGAGACACTGTCTGTACAGGGACAATGTCTATACAGGGGCACAGTATCAGGACACTGTCTGTATAGGGACAATGTCTATACAGGGGCACAGTAGCAGGACACTATCTGTACAGGGACACAGTAGCAGGACACTGTCTCTACCGAGACACTGTCTGTACCGAGACACTGTCTGTATAGGGACACTGTATATGGACACTGTACAGGACACTGTCTGTATAGGGACACTGTCTATACAGGGGCATAGTAGCAGGTCACTGTCTGTACAGGGGCATAGTAGCAGGACACTGTACAGGAACACTGTACAGGAACACTGTACAGGACACTGTCTATTCAGGGACACTGTCTGTACAGAGACACTGTCTGTACAGGGACACTGTGATTATAGGGACATTGTCTGTACAGAGACACTGTCTGTACAGGGACACTGTGTGTATAGGGACATTGTCTATACAAGGGCACAGTATCAAGACACTGTCTGTACAGGGACTATGTCTGTACAGGAACACTGTCTGTTCAGGAACACTGTCTGTTCAGGGACACTGTGTGTATAGGGATATTGTCTATACAGGGGCACAGCAGGACAATGTCTGTACAGAAACACTGTCTGTATAGGGACACTCTCTGTACAGGGACACTGTCTGTACAGAGACACTGTCTGTACAGGAACACTGTCTGTACAAGGACACTGTCAGTAAAGGTATATTTGGTAATAGAGACACTGTCTGTATACCTGCCTAGGGACACTATTCAGGGGCAATTTGTATATGGACAGTCTGAACAGGAACACTCTCTTGAAAGGGGCACTGTCTGTATAGAGACAATGTCTGTACAGGAACACTGTATGAATATGGAGACTGTACAGGAACACTGTCTGTACAAGGACACTGTACAGGAACACGGTCTTAATAGGTACCCTTTCTGTACAGGAACACTGTCTGTACAGGGACACTGTGTGTATAGGGACATTGTCTATACAGTGGCAAAGTAGCAGGACATTGTCTGTACAGAGACACTGTCTGTATGTACAAATTAAGTGTGAATTGTCCACATTGAGTCCATATTGAGGAAGGTTTTAGTTGATAAGATTGCTGAGTTAAGCTCTGTCAAACACATGTTGTGAATTTTACCTAGTTGTCATGCTTTGTTAACATTGGCCAATATGATGTTGAGAGATCATTGCCTAATTATTTGTGAACAATACAGGCCCATAGGTTCTGTGGGTTTTGGTGTTGCAACTTTAAACACGCTTGATCCTGGGTAGGGGGAGTTCAGAGGTGGATGTAAAGTTTTGTGTATGCCCTACAATTATGTCAGCTTAGAATGATCAGTGATCTCAACTTTTTTGGGAAGTAGGGTTGAAACCATGCCCTGAAGGTTTGTTTCTCTGCTGAAGAAGCTTTTACAGCTAGCCACCTTAAATTAAATTTTTTGATATTGATTCCACTAGCAGAATTACAACCAATTTTGGACATAGTGGTACCTGCAGCAGGACTGGACCCATTGATGCTTGGTTACAGTGATGCATTATTTTAACTGTGTACTGAGAAGCAGATACCAACACAAGCGTCTTCTTATCTTAACAGCTCTAGCTTGTCTGCAGGAAACGCACACAAGTGAATAGCATTTTTCAATACAAATTTAGAACAATATACAGTAGAGCCAAATAATGGAATTGAACTGCATCATACAGCTGTTTCAAATAGGTTAGTGATCTCATGCTATTTCTTGACACACATTGGCATCCAATTTCAAGTCAAATTGAATTAACTTATTCTCAGAACTGCTGAAATAATTTTGACCCTATTTTCTTGATGGCAGCTTATAATTAAAAAGGAAATGATTAGAGAGAGGAAATGTGCAGAGAAAAAAAACGGGGAGCAATTCAACTCTGATCTTACATTTGGTCATTTTTGCTGTGCGTCTATGCATTGGTATTTAATAAATTGCTGAAAAGAAGTGTCTTAAGCTTGTGGTATCCTGACACTACATTGTAGATTAGGTGTTTTAATATATTCTACAGATTTAGTTCGGATATACACTTGCAATATCCTGACACTACATTGTAGATTAGGTGTCTTAATCTATTCTACAGATTTAGTTCGGATATACACTTGCAGTATCCTGACACTACATTGTAGATTAGGTGTCTTAATCTATTCTACAGATTTAGTTCGGATATACACTTGCAGTATCCTGACACTACATTGTAGATTAGGTGTCTTAATCTATTCTACAGATTTAGTTCGGATATACACTTGCAGTATCCTGACACTACATTGTAGATTAGGTGTCTTAATCTATTCTACAGATTTAGTTCGGATATACACTTGCAGTATCCTGACACTACATTGTAGATTAGGTGTCTTAATCTATTCTTCAGATTTAGTTCGGATATACAGTATCTTGATACCAATTTTATCAGGTGTCACTGGTGAAAATTAAAGGTCAAAGGTCACACTTGTGAACAATTTTCATGTTTATGGTGATATAGTGAAAGCAATGTGGTATCTAAATATCTTGAAATCTTAATCTTGGCCCTGCATTTCCTAAACCAAGCAAGACCCAAACCACTTACCATTAATGACTTTCGGAGTATCAATAGATCAACACAGTCATGCTACAATTCTATTGGTGAACTCTGTTTCTCGGAACACTTTGATCTACCACAGTGTTGATTAATTTTTTCCAGTGCTAAAACCAAGAAAGGACCTATTCTCTTGATAATGTACCGTAATTATACATGTTTCAGTGGTATCTTGTGTCATCATTTTCATGCTTAGTATTGTGCTAAAATAGCAGTTTCAGTGTGTTTTAAATATAGCAGTTATTCTAATGTGCAGATTCATCATTGTGCTTGTTTGGTATATATTCTAAACTGATATTGCTTCAAGATCTAATTTACCTGTAATAAGAATATTTACAGTTGTTAATTACTTTTAATTACAATTACAAAATTTGTTCTTCCATCATTGTTTTGAGGTTTATTCCTAGTATTTTCCTGTCAAAGATAAGATCTATGCCAAATGATTAGATACTCTTCAACACAAAGGCATTCCTCTACACACAGGCACTCCACAATACAGACAATCCACTCCACACAGGCACTCCACAATACAGACAATCCTCTACACACAGGCACTCCACAATACAGACAATCCTCTACACACAGGCACTCCACAATACAGACAATCCTCTACACACAGGCACTCCACAAAACAGACAATCCTCTACACACAGGCACTCCACAATACAGACAATCCTCTACACACAGGCACTCCACAATACAGACAATCCTCTACACACAGGCACTCCACAAAACAGACAATCCTCTACACACAGGCACTCCACAATACAGACAATCCTCTACACACAGGCACTCCACAATACAGACAATCCACTCCACAAACACTCTACACAGACACTCCATTTCAT